AAAGAGAGTGACAGTGAGAGAGAGAAACATGGAGAAAGAAAGAGAGTGACAGTGAGAGAGAGAAACATGGAGAAAGAAAGAGAGTGACAGTGAGAGAGAGAGAGAAAGAGAGAAATATGGAGAAAGAAAGTGACAGTGAGAGAGAGAGAAAAAAACATGGAGAAAGAAAGAGAGTGACAGTGAGAGAGAGAGAAACATGGAGAAAGAAAGAGAGTGACAGTGAGAGAGAGAGAGAAAGAGAGAAAAATGGAGAAAGAAAGAGAATGACAGTGAGAGAGAGAGAGAAACATGGAGAAAGAAAGAGAGTGACAGTAAGAGAGAGAGAGAGAGAAACATGGAGAAAGAGAGTGACAGTAAGAGATAGAGAGAGGGGGGAAAGAGAAAGAAAAAAGAGGGAAAGAGAAAGAATTAAAGAAACAAAAGAAAGAAAGCAAAGAGAAAGAAAGAGAGAGGAAGAAAGAAGAAAGGAGAGAAAGAGAGAAAGAAAGAAAGAGAAGAAAGAATGAGAGAAAGAAAAAGATGAAAAAAGAGAAAGAAAGAGAAAAGAGAGAAAGAGGGAATAAGAGACAAAAAGAGAAAGGAAGAAAGAAAAAGATGGGAAAAAAGGAAAGAAAGAAAGCATTCTCACTTCTAATTTTTTTATTAGTTTATAGTATAAAATACAAAAATACAAAAGCAAATAGTAGGACCCAGAGGGGAGGAGTGCAGAAGAAGAGAGGGAAGGAAAGAAAAAAAAAAGGCTTTGACTTCCGACTCCCTCTGTTGCAGTAGGATAAGGCATTAACATCAAACCTCAACGTTTTACTTTTCCATAATATTATAAACTAGCCATTTCTATAAACAACAAATCAATCTAATCAGTAAAATCAAAGTTTCATTTTTTTCCCACCTCAGGCAGAAAGTCCAGAAGCGGTTTCCAAGTAGAAACAAAAGTACTTATATTCTTCCCTTTGATCAAAACGGTCAATTTAGCCATCTCTTCTCACTTCTAAAAAAGCATGCACACCACCACTGGCCATGTCCTGGGTGTGCTTGAATTGAGAGTTGACACAATGGTAGTCCTCGACTTACAACCATTTCTTTAGCGACCATCCAAAGTTACAACGGCACTGAAAAAAGGGACTTACAACCAGTTCGCGCACCTTCAACGGTTGCAGCGTCCATCGTGTGATCAAAATTCAGGCGACTGGAAACCAGCACATACTTACGACGGTTGCAGTATCCTGGTCACATGATCACCATTTACAACCTTCCCAGCCATCTTCCGACAAGCCAAGTCAAGGGGGGGAAGCCAGATTCGTTTAACGACCGCCTGAGCCACTTAACAAATGCAGGGATTCACTTAATAACTATGGCGAAAAAGGTGATAAAATTAGACACGGCGCACTTAACGATCTTAGCCGTGGAAATTCCAATCCCAATTGCAGTTGTAAGTCGAGGACGGGCTGTACAGCAACGGATTCAGATTCTGGGTGGGGAATAAGGGGTTGGAATAAGTGATCTCCAGGTACCCTTTCAATCCTTCTGCACTAGAAGAAATTCCAACCGGTTAAGTCAGGTTTCCATGGAGATCAATCTAACTCTGTAGTCGCTAAGAGTCAAGGCCAAGTTGATGGCACATAATCGATCAAACAAGATTGGTTTAAGAGCAGAACAGAAAGATTGGACTCTGAAAATATCTTTAAATAACCCACCATTGAGGATGCTCTAAAATAAATGACGAAATCCTGCATTGGGCAAGACTTGGACCAGAATAACAGGGTTGGAAGGGATCTTGGAGTTGAACCCCCTGCTCAAGCAGGAGATCCTATACCCATGATGGCGAACCTATGGCACGCGTGCCACAGGTGGCACATGGAGCCATATCGGTGGGCACGTGAGATCAGCTCCGGCGCACATGCGCGTGCCGGCCAGCTGATTTTCGGGCCTGCTGGGCCTGCTGGAAGTCAACAAACAGGCCGTTTCGGGCCTCCAGAGGGCCTCCAGGCGGTGGGGAAGGCCGTTTTTGCCCTCCCCAGGCTCCTAGAAAGGCTCTGGAGCCTCGAGAGGGCAAAAAACGGGCCTACCGTTCCCACCGTGCTATCGCGTGCCAAAAGCAGGGGAAGCACGGGAGGGTCGCACACACATGCGCGGGGGCGGGGTGCATAGAATTATGGGTGTGGGCACGCACGCGCGTGACCCCCACGCGCTCCCCACGCTTTTGGCACGCGATGGCAAAAAGGTTAGCCACCACTGTCCTATACCATTTCAGACAAATGGCTGTCCAGTCTCTTCTTAAAAGCCTCCAGTGATGGAGGGCCCATGATTTCCGAAGGGAAAGCTGTTCCATTGGTTAATTATCCTCACTGTCAGGAAATTTCTCCTTAGTTCTAGGTTGCTTCTCTCCTGGATTAGTAAGAGGAGGAAGGTAAGGAAGAGGAGGAAGATGAAGAAGGAAAATCAAAGGGGAGGAAGAAGAAGGAAAGGAAGAGGAAAAGGAGAAGGAGAAGAGAAAGAAAAGAAGGGAGAAGAGGGAGAAGAGAAAGAAAAGAAGGGAGAAGAGGGAGAAGAGAGAAGAAAAGAAGGAAGAGGAAAAAGAAGAGGAAGAGAAGAGGGAAAGGAGGGAGAAGAATTAACTTTACAACTTTGCAATCCCAAACCATTGAAAAACTTTCAGGATTTTTTTAAAGATGTGGATGGATGTGACGTATGCAGATCTGGATACCTTTATTTCATTACCCAAACTAGGTAATATCATCAATACTAGCACTGAGGATGTTACTTAGTTGGGTAATGAAACGTCTGCAAGAAAACAAGCAAGCTCAGAGAAACACCAAGGACCTCACAGTCCTCTCCTCCTCCTCCTCCTCCTCCTCCTCCTCCTCCTCCTCCTCCTCCTCCTCCTCCTCCTCCCAGCAAATTCCATGCCTTCTAGCACTGGATGTTACCTAGTAGGGTAATGAAACGTCCAAGCTCAGAGAAACAAGCTCAGAGCAACAAAACAACCAAGCTCAGAGAAACACCAAGGACCTCACAGTCCTCCTCCTCCTCCTCCTCCTCCTCCTCCTCCTCCTCCTCCTCCTCCTCTTCCTCCTCCTCCTCCTCCTCCTCCCTGCAAACCCCACTGTCACTCATGATGTTACCCAGGTTGGGTAATTGTTGGGGGATTGTCTTCCCTCCCTCTCTCTCTCTCTCTGCCCTCCAAAAATCGAGCCCAGATTTCTCATCGGACCCGTTTCCTCTCCGCGATCCTTTTTCGGATTCCACGGCTGGACCGATGAGAAGCAGATGACAGCCGGCGTTTATGTGGGCCGAACTTTTTCCCTCCTGGGTGTTTGCAAAGAATCCAACGCTCGATGGCCCTTCATCAAAAATCAATTGCTCTCAGCCTGCTTGCGAAGCAATTGAACCTTCTCTTGTAATCACTCCATGCGCCCAGGCTCGCTGATCTGGCATTCATGCTGTCCTGAAGTCATTGCCAATCTTTTCCCCTGCGATGCGCCAAGCGCGCTCCTCGCAGCATGGAGTTGTTTGGAAACTTGTGGCAAGAGGTTTTGCATGAGCTGGAATCAGCGCCTCGAATGCTTTGCTAGGCGCTCTACTATTCTCGGAGACGGTTGTTTCTGCGGGGGGGCTCTAATTTTCCAATTTCACCCTTTGTTTCTGGCCCGAAACTCATCCGTCTACGTTCTGATTTTGCCCCCAGAGTGAATCACTGCTAATCTCTCCCATCTGTTCCGGTGCGGTTTCAAAGGGGTAGACGTGCCACAGGAAATCTCTTTTCTCCCCTCTGAAATTGATTATTAATCATTCTGGTAACTGGTCTGTGATGGTTGTTTTTAATGTGTACACTTTATAGTAATTATCAGATTAATCTTAGGCAGAAGGTGATTAGGATTCGTAGTATGAACATATGTGTGTTTACTGTAATAAGCAGGAATCTGAAGTCAAAACACAGCGTAAACTGTGGGCCTCTTCAAGGGGAGGGGTGCCACAGTCCCCTTCCTCCCAAATTTATTTCAATGAGATAAACCTTTGGACTAACTTGGTGTTTGTTTTTCAACCTGGGCAACATTAAGAAGTCTGTGGACTTCGACTCCCAGAATTCTGGGAGTCAAACTCCAAAATTCTGACTGGAGAATTCTGGGAGTCGAAGTCCACAAATGCCGGCTGGGGAATTCTGGGAGTCAAACTCCACAAATGATGACTGGGGAATTCTGGGAGTCAAAGTCCACAAATGATGACTGGGGAATTCTGGGAGTTAAACTCCACAAATGATGACTGGGGAATTCTGGGAGTCAAAGTCCACAAATGATGACTGGGGAATTCTGGGAGTCAAAGTCCACAAATGCCGGCTGGGGAATTCTGGGAGTCAAAGTCCACAAATGCTGGCTGGGGAATTCTGGGAGTCGAAGTCCACAAATGCCGGCTGGGGAATTCTGGGAGTTGAACTCCACAAATGATGACTGGGGAATTCTGGGAGTCAAAGTCCACAAATGCCAACTGGGGAATTCTGGGAGTCGAAGTCCACAAATGCTGGCCGGGGAATTCTGGGAGTCGAAGTCCACAAATGCCGGCTGGGGAATTCTGGAACTTGAAATCCACAAGTGCTGGCTGAGGATTTCTGGGAGTTGAAGTCCATCCATCTTCAAATTTACAAGCTTTAAAAGGCTGAGAGATGGATTATCTGAAGGCAGGGCTGTCCACAGGGAAGAGGTGAAGAAATTCAAGATGGCCTTTACAATCATACGAACCAAAATCCGCCCTTTGGACAAAGATTGTCGTTTTCTTGGCCTCTTTTTCAGAAGTGGTTTGCTGTCACCTTCTTCTTCTTAGAGTTATGAGAGAGGGACAGGCCCCAAGCCATTCAGCTTTCTTCCTGCCTAAGGCAGGACTTGAACTCATGGTCCCCTGGTGACTTTGAGGCACAAAGACCCAGTGACACCTCTGCTTTGTTTATTCTAGCCTTAAACCCCTTTCAGCTCATATAACTGGGTTTTCTGTCTCGCTTTCTTTTTAAGGAGTGATGCCCAAGACTCTTGAGATTAAGTATTGTGTCAGCTTCTGGGGGAAAAACATCACGTGCTACTGGGATCTTCTGCCAGAGATGGATTCTCCAATCACCTACACCCTCCAGGTCACGGAGTAAGCTTTCCTCACGGGTCCCTTGCAGAAGGTATTGGTGTGCGTTCCTGGCGAAGTGCAGTTGTGTTGTGCAAAGAGGACAACCAAAGCTTTTTCCAACCCTGATACGGCCCTCAATGAAATCAAGTTTGACACCCCTGTCTGAGCAGCGGGTTGGACTACAAGACCTCCAAAGTTCCTTCCAATTCTGTCATTCTATGTTTTATGCTCTATGTTCTAAATCAGCAGTCCCCAACCTTTGCCCAGCTGGGGAGGTGGGGGAGAGGGGGACCGGGCCACGGGAGCAGGGGTAGGCTGCTGAGGTTTGCAAGGGTTCGGGAGAACCTCTAGCTAAGATTCTGTAGAGTTCGGAGAAGCCCCAAATCCCACTCCTGGCTGGCCCCGCCCATCCCGCCCCGCCCCTCCCAAGAGCCCCCATGCGGCCCATTTTGGATGCAGGTAAGTGCAGAGTGCACGCAGAGGCTCAGGGAGGGTGAAAAATGGGTCTACTGGAAGTTTGGGAAGAGGACCTCCAGAGGGCCTCCGGAGCCTGGGGAGAGCAAAAACACCCCCACCCCCCGCCATGGTGCAGGAGGTCAACTAGGCCACGCCCACCATGGCCACACCCACACAGCAACCGGGCAGAAAACCCCTTGCTAAAATTTTTGAAGCCTACCCCTGTGCGGGAGTCTGGCGAGCACATGCATGTGTGTGCGGCTTAACCCACGCAAGCAGCGATCTATTCCACCATTTCTTTGATATTAGTGTAACTCTTGTCCCACAGAGAGTTGGCCGTGGTGAGTTGGCCATGATGAGTTGGCCTTGGTGAGTTGGTTGTGATGAGTTGGCCATGATGAGTTGGCCTTGGTGACTTGGTTGTGATGAGTTGGCCATGGTGAGTTGGTTGTGATGACTTGGTTGTGATGAGTTGGTTGTGATGAGTTGGTTGTAATGAGTTGGTTGTTATGAGTTGGTTGTGATGAGTTGGCCGTGGAGAGTTGGCCGTGGTGAGTTGGTTGTGATGACTTGGTTGTGATGAGTTGGTCATGATGAGTTGGTTGTAATGAGTTGGTTGTTATGAGTTGGTTGTGATGAGTTGGCCGTGGAGAGTTGGCCATGGTGAGTTGGTTGTGATGACTTGGTTGTGATGAGTTGGTCATGATGAGTTGGTTGTAATGAGTTGGTTGTGATGATTTGGCCGTGCTGAGTTGGCCGTGGTGAGTTGCCCATGGTGAATTGATTATGATGAGTTGGCGGTGGCGAATTGGCTGTGGTGAGTTGGCCATGGCAAGTTGGCCATGGTGAGTTGGCCATGGTAAGTTGGCGGTGGCAAATTGTCATAGACCAAGCTGGTCTTACCAAAACCCACAAGTTTTTGGCAAAAGACTTATAAATCATAAAATGTGACCAGGTGAATGCAGGATGGTATAAATGCAGGCCAGTTGCCAAGCACCCAAATTGTGTTTTGAATGCATCAAAGGCTCTCTCCATCACTTACTGCCTCCAACACCTGCTTAGTGCCCCTTCTGATGTTCCTGGTGCCAAGTAACCAACAGGACTTTTAGATCCTATCACGGCTGGTTTCTTTTCTCCAGGGAAGCTGGACGCTGCCAAAGAGACTTTGGCCTCCTCAAGAATTGCGTGGCTGATCCAGGAGAACATTGGTGTGGTGTTCCGGTAGAGAACCTCTTTGCTTTCTACAAGATCAAATTAACTGCACAGAACCAGCAGCTGCGGGCTGACTCCTCGGAGAAGTGCCTCCGTGGAATGAGCATCGGTAAGCCAAGGGGACGGGAGAGAAATTGGACTCACCTGGTACAGGTAATCCTAGTAGACCCATGACTGGTCCTGGCCCTTATGACTCCTCCTACTCCTCCTCTAGCTTCTCCTTCTGCTTCTATAGTTTGTCCTTCTCTTTCTTCTCCTTCTCCTCTTCCTCCTTCAATAACCTCCTTCTGTTCTCCTTCTCTTTCTCCTCCTCCTCCTCCTCCTCCAGCTTCTCCTTTTGCTTCTATAGCTTCTCCTTCTTCTTTTCCTTCTCCTTCTATGACTTCTCCTCCTCTTCTTCCTCCTTCTCCTTCTCCTCTTTCTCCTTCCTCCTCCTTCTATAACCTCCTTCTTCTTTTCTCCTTTTCCTTCTCTTTTTCCTCCTCCTCATCTTCCTTTTCCTCCTTTCCCCCTCCTCCTCCTCCTCTTCTTCTTCTCTCTTTCTCCTTCCTCCTCCTTCTATAACCTCCTTCTTCTTTTCTCCTTCTCCTTCTCTTTTTCCTCCTCCTCGTCTTCCTCCTCCTCCTTTCCTCCTCCTCCTCCTCCTCCTTCTATAACCTCCTTCTTCTTTTCTCCTTTTCCTTCTCTTTTTCCTCCTCCTCGTCTTCCTTTTCCTCCTTTCCCCCTCCTCCTCCTCCTCTTCTTCTTCTCTTTCTCCTTCCTCCTCCTTCTATAACCTCCTTCTTCTTTTCTCCTTCTCCTTCTCTTTTTCCTCCTCCTCGTCTTCCTCCTCCTCCTTTCCTCCTCCTCCTCCTCCTCCTCTTCTTCTCTTTCTCCTTCCTCCTCCTCCTCCTCCTCCTCCTCTTCTTCTTCTTCTTCTTCTTCTTCTTCTTCTTCTTCTCCTCCTTCTCCTTCTCCTTCTCCTCCTTCTTCTTCCTTTCCTTCTCCTCCTGCTTCTTCTCCTTCTCCTTCTTCTCCTTCTCTTTCTATTGCTCCTCTTCTGGCTCCTTCTCCACCTCTAGCTCCTAGTCCTTTTCTCCTCCTCCTTCTCAGTGCTTTGAACCTGGCACTTTAATGCTCCCTCTGCCCGCTTATCAAATCAAGAACCTCCCAAGTGTGCCAGGCCAAAATATAAATCAAATGAATGACAATTCTTCAGTTTCAGCTGCTGTACCCAGCAGGACAAACTGAGTTATAGTTTGAAATATAAGGAGTCCTCATCTTACAACCACAATTGAGCCAAAATTTCTGCTGCTGAGCAAAGACAGGTGTTCAGTGAGTTTTGCCCCATTTTATGACCTTTCATGCCAAACTTGTTAAGTGAATCACTACGTTTGTTAGTAACCTAGTTGTTAAGTGAATCTGGCTTCCCCATTGACTTTGCTTGTCACCACTGGTCACAAAAGGGGACCAGTGGTGGGTTTCAAAAATTTTTACTACTGGTTCTGTGGGCGTGGCATGGCTTGGTGGGCGTGGCAGGGGAAGGATACTGTGAAATCTCCATTCCCACCCCACTCCAGGGAAAGGATACTTTAAAATCCCCATTCCGTCCCCACTCCAGGGGAAAGTTACTGCAAAATCCCCATTTCCTCCCGATCTGCTGGGACTTGGGAGGCAGAGAATAGATGAGGGCGGGGCCAATCAGAATTTTTACAACCGGTTCTCCGAACTACTCAAAATTTCCGCTATTGGTTCTCCAGAACTGGTCAGAACCGGCTGAAACCCACCTCTGCCGGGGACACTGCAACCGTTGTAAATACAAGTCAGTTGCCCAGCATCTGAATTTTGATCCCGAGACCAGGGGGATGCTGCAACGGTCGTTAAGTGTGAAAAATGGTCACTTTTGTCAGTGCTGCTGTAACTTTGAATGGTCACTAAATGAACCATTGTAAGTTGAGGACTACCGTGTTTCCCCGAAAATACGACCTACTCAGAAAGTAAGCCCTAGCTTGATTTTTTTTACACATGCACCCAATATAAGCTCCACCCCCAAAATAAACCCTAGTTAAGATTCCCCCCCCAACTCCAGGGTGCACGGGTTAAAAATTAAGCTCGGGTGGGGATAGTGGGGGTGGAGCTGCCCTGCTACTTACCTTCGGATAGTTGCAGCCAGGCCTCGTGCACCTCGGCCCATTTCTTCTGTTGCAGCTGGCAAGGCTTTCCTGAAGGCCTCTGTAGCCGATAACAGAGCTCTAGATCGATCTGGAGATCTGTTATCGGCTGCAGAAGCCTTCAGAAAAGCCTTGCGGCCTAGCTGGCCGAAGAAGTTCCTGAAGGCCTCTGATAGCGAAAAAGAGGCTGGGGACGATGCATGCAAGCGAGGTGAGTCAGTGGATAACATCCCCCCCGCCTCTGAAAATAAGACCTGGTGCCTTTTTTTTGGTGGCAAAATAAATATAAGAGAGTGTCACTGCGTTTTTGTATTTACCAGATGATATTTTTGGATTTTCAGACTTTCCGTAGCTTGCCAAGTTTCTTATCAGTAAGCTAACTGCGCATGTCCACATTCCTTCACCTTTCTTCTAAAACTTCCTTTGTTCTCCTGCCAGGAGAGGTCCGGCAGGAACATTGCCAATATGTAACTAATTAGGCTAGTGAGATGTTTTATTTTCTTTATAACAAATAAATGAGTTTTTTCTTTAAAAATATATCTTCGGGTTTATTTTCTTGCAAAAGTATGCACAAGGTAAATGCCACGATTCACCTCTAATTCAGGCAATTACCCCAGGAAGATAACGGGCTGATTGCCACTCTGACAGAGAGGGTCTTACTTTGGGGGAAACACAGTACCTGTAACCACAGGGTTCCTAGGAAGCTGGGTGAAATCACTATAACCTCATTGAACGGTTGCAGAATGGCTGCAGGAACTGGGTATGTCTAGTTTAATGAAAAGAAGGACTAGGGGAGACATGATAGCAGTCTTCCAATATCTCAGGGGCTGCCACAAAGAAGAGGGAGTCAAGCTATTCTTCAAAGCACCCGAGGGCAGGACAAGAAGCAACGGGTGGAAACTAATCAAGGAGAGAAGCAACTTAGAACTAAGGAGAAACTTCCTGACAGTTAGAACAATTAACCAGTGGAACAACTTGCCTCCAGAAGTTGTGAATGCTCCAACACTGGAAGTTTTTAAGAAGAGATTAGATAACCATTTGTCTGAAGTGGTGTAGGGTTTCCTGCCTAAACAAGCAGGGGGTTGGACTAGAAGACCTCCAAGGTCCCTTCCAACTTTGTTAAATTATTATTCCCTCCCAACTCGCCCTTAATCCCTACGTTTCTTGCTTGCTGACTCAACAGCCTCTCCATTGAAGAAATCCATACGTGAGCATGACCTTGGAAGACAGAGGGCGAGATGCTGCTGTAGTGGAATGCAGTCTGGATTCCCAGAAGGGAGGGGCTGCATTCTAGAGGAAGAAGAGGCAGTGAATATAAAATACAGAAAGAGAGTTGGAAAGGACCTTGGAGGTCTTCTAGTCAAACACACACACACACACGTTCGAGCAGGAGACCCTATACCAGTGGTCCCCAACTTTTCCAGCTTGGCGGCCCTTCCAACTCTGTCATTCTATTCTATTCTATTCTATTCTATTCTATTCTATTCTATTCTATTCTATTCTATTCTATTCTATTCCATTCCATTCCATTCCATTCCATTCCATTCCATTCCGTATATTCTATTCTATTCTATTCTATTCTATTCTATTCTATTCTATTCTATTCTATTCTATTCTATTCTATTCTATTCTATTCTATTCCATTCCATTCCATTCCATTCCTTTCCTTCCATTCCCTATATTCTATTCTATTCTATTCTATTCCATGTTATGAGGTGTAAAAGACCTCAGTGCTGCCCTATAACCTGTGTGCCTTCTTCCCATTGCTCACCCTAGTGAAACTGAGTCCACCAGTATTGAATGTGGTTGCACCCCAAAGCCGCTGCCTCCAGCTGCAATGGAACCTGCCTGGGGATGAGCTGATATCAGCAACGGAGGCCCAGTACGAGATCCGGCATTGTGACCTGGTAGAGTCGTCTTGCCTGCAGGTAGGTGCCAAGCTTTTTCAGTCCCAAATGGGTTGCAGGGGCTCGACTTAACAACCACAATTGAGCCCCGAATTTCCCTAACTGAGACAGTCATTAAGTGAGTTTTGCCCCATTTTATAATTTTTCTTGCCGCCGTTGTTAAGCGAATCACTGCAGTTGTTAAGTTGGGAACACGGTTGTTAAGTGAATCTGGCTTCCCCATAGACTTTGCCTGTCAGAAGGTCGCAAAAAGGGGAACGCCTGACCCCGGGATGCGTAAATACAGGTAGTCCTCAACTTACAACAGTTCATTTAGTGACCGTTCAAAGTTACAACGGCACCGGAAAAAGTGAGCTATGACCGTTTTTCACACTTACGACCGTTGCAGCATCCCCGCGGTCACGTGATCAAAATTCAGGTGCTTGGCCACTGACTCATATTTACGACGGTTGCCGTGCCCTGCAGTCATGTGATCCCTGTTTGCAACCGTCTGACAAGCAAAGTCAATGGGAAACCCAGATTCCCTTAACAACCATGTTGCTAACTTAATTCACTTAACCACTTAGGTTGGCAAGGAAAGTCGTAAAATGAGGTGAACTCACAAAACTTTTTTTTAATCAAGTTTTATTAATTTCTTTCTTTCACACACACACACACATATTTTATGAATAGAGTATTGACCGTATCATATCTGATACAATTTATCAAATCCAATTTCATTTTACGTAGTTACCATTTTTGCCAAAATATTCTTTTTCCATACCTTTTGATCCTATCTTAATACTTCTATACTTATTATATAAACAACATCACCATCCGCCCTCAAATCCTAGCTTCTTAACATTATTTCAATTAGTTATCTTACCTTATAATATATAATCCCTTTTAACTTTCATATTAATTCGTTCGGCATCCTAATAAATTTGCACATTCTCGGGATTGCCTTTCTACCATTTCATCTCCTTTGTTTTGCAACAATTCTTCTTCTCCTCTCCTCTCTTTCTCTCTTCTATCTTTTTCTACTTTCCTCTTTCCTCCTCTCCTACTCCTCCTCTACTTCCCCTTCCTTCCCCCCCCTCCTCCATTCCTTCCTCCCTTTCTAACCTTCTCTCCTGCACTTAAGAAGTGTTTTTTATTTTTTTTTTTTTTTTTTAATTTGATTTATATGCCGCCCTTCTCCGGAGACTCAGGGCGGCTTACAATGCGTTAAGCAATAGCCTTCATCCTTTTGTATATTTTATACAAAGTCATCTTATTGCCCCCACAAACTGGGTCCTCATTTCACTTACCTTAGAAAGGATGGTAGGCTGAGTCAACCTTGAGCCTGGTAAGATTCGAACCTGCAGTAATTGCAGGCAGCTGTATTAATAACAGGGTGCTTTAAACCACTGTACTACCAAGGCTCACGTAACACGTAACAACGTAAATTTTGGGCTCAATGGCAGTCGTAACTCGAGGACTACCTATCCATGCCAGTTGGCCAAGCCTCTAAATTTTGATTGCGGGACCATGGGGATACCGCAACGGTCGTAAGTGTGAAAAAAGGATCATCAGTCCCTTTGTTCAGTGTCGTCGTAACTTTGAATGGTCCCTAAATGAACGGTTGCAAGTCAAGGACTACCTGTATTTAGATCAGTTTCCACTGGCAGGTCTAATTTTTTTTTTTTTTTTTAATTTTGATTTTATATGCCGCCCTTTTCCGGAGACTCAGGGCGGCTTACAGTGTGTTAAGCAATAGCCTTCATCCTTTTGTATATTTATACAAAGTCAGCTTATTGCCCCCACAAACTGGGTCCTCATTTCACCTACCTTAGAAAGGATGGAAGGCTGAGTCAACCTTGAGCCTGGCGAGATTCGATCTTACTTTAATTGCAAACAGCTGGTGTTAAATTACAGAGCTCTGTCTGTTGAGCTATCCAGGCTCCTTAAATCTCTCATGAATATGAGGTCAAACACTTAACCCGGCTGCACACACTCACAGGTGAATTTTACAGCACTGGAGAATGCACCACTTTCCGCAAACATCTGTGGCCTGTTCCCCTTCACCAACTACTCTATGCAAGTACGGGCAAAATATCTGCAGAGTTCTGCTTTCCAAAGTGATGGTGATCCCTTTTGGAGCGACTGGAGTTTGGAGACATTTGCAAGGACCCTTCCGGCAGGTAGGGAAATTCAGCTGTTTTTAGCTGATGTGATTGTGCTACGCATTTCTGTCTTGCAAGAGGCTGGGATTTCATTCCGCGGAACCTTATTCATTAGTTCTGCAACTCATCAAGAACTTCAAAGTATGCCCAGAATGGACAACATCAAAAATTTAGACTTGGCGGGTTTTTTCTTTTTTTTTTAAAGAGGGGCTAGCTGTATTTTAAGTGATTTACAAAACAGGTTTAAGCTCTGAAATTCATCTGGATTCAGCCCTTAATTTGGGCTGATTTTCCTCTCCAGGATAATTAAATGCCAAAACATTTCCAAAGTTTAAAGACATCAGAATAACAGAATAACAGAGTTGGAAGGGACCTTGGAGGTCTTCTAGTCCAACCCCCTTGCTCAAGCAGGAGAGACTATACCACGGATCAGCAACCTGTGGCTCTGGAGCCGCCTGTGGCTCTTTCATTCCTCTGCTGCGGCTCCCTGTCACTCAAAATAATGCGTCACAACTGCCAATGTGCGACACCCGTCGGCACACAATTTATTGAGCTTTTCAGTCCCCGGTAGGCCAACCATGGATAAATCCAAGAAAAGAAAAATTTCAGAAGAAAACAGAACGTTTAATTCAACTACATATGCTAGTTTTGTGGCCGCTCAAGAAATAGTCAGGCACGGGAAGGGTTTTTGTGGCTCCCGGTGTTTTCTTTTCTGTGGGAAATGGGTCCAATTGGCTCTTTTGAGTGTTTAAGGTTGCAGACTCCTGCCCTATCCCATTTCAGACAAATGTTTGTCCAATCTCTTCTCCAGTGATAGAGTACCCATAACATCTGGTAGGAATCCGTTCCACTGATTAATTGTTCTCTGAAATCCTCCCCGCTTGAAATGCTGAATGAATTTTTCTCCCCGTTTCAACGATTTCATTGACAGCTTCAAGAAGCTCTTAGCTTTTCCTAGAATGTGGCCCACTGCGGTGGGCGCAGCCATCAAGAATGACCTAATCTGGATGCACAGCCATGTTCCTCATGAAATCAGCACCTTGGAGAGCTCCGCTGGAGCATTTGCTTTCATTAGGCAGGACCACGAGATGTTGTCTCAGCAAGGAACTTCAAATAGTCCTCGCCTTACGACCACAATTGGACCAGGTTTTCCATTTGCTAAGCAAGGCCGCTTTTAAGGCAGTCAACCCTCATTTTATGGCTTTTTCGGCTAGTGTGGTTAGGCAAATCCCTTCAGTTGTTAAATGAACGATGCTGTCGTTAAAGGAATCCAGCTCACCCCGTTGAGTCTGCTTGCCAGAAGCTGGCTGAGAAGGACAGAATAACAGACTAACAGATTGGAAGGAACCTTAGAGGTCTACTAGTCCAACCCCCTGCTCAGACAGGAGACCCTATACCAGGGGTGTCAAACTTGATTTCATTGAGGGCCCTATCAGTGTTTGACCCCCAAGGTCAAACACAAGGTTGTGTTTGACCTTGGGGGCCGGGAGGGGGCATGGCCTGGGGGGGCGTGGCCGGGGTGGTGTGGCCAGCTCAACATCACTCATGTCGGGGGCACCTGTGGTGGCCCAGGCAGGATTGGGGGGGTGGATCCTCCTGCAGCCATCTGCCAGCGAAAACGGAACCTGGGAGGACCGTGCATGGATTCCTGAGCTCCATTTTCACTGGCAGAGGCATCGTGTGCCAGTCCTTTCCTATTTCCAGGACAGCCCCACAGGCCAGATCTAAGCACCGCGCAGGCTGTATCTGGCCCGTGGGCCCTGCCGTATACCATTTCAAACAAATGGTTATCCAATCTTTTCTTAAAAGCCTCCAGTGTTGGAGCATCCACAACTTCTTGTGGCCAGCTGTTCCACTGGTTAATTATTCTTATTGTGATCAGGGATCACGTGATCTGGAACACGGCAACCATCATAAATATATGCCGTTGCCAAGTGTCTTGATTACAGGGATTGTAGGGATGCCGCAAGGGGTCGTAAATGCAAGCACCGGTTGTAAGCCACTTTTTCCCGTGCCTTTGTAACTTTGAAGAGTCACTAAATGAATGGTCATAAGTCAAGGACTACCTGTAAGACTTTATGAAGACAAAGAAGATTTTCTGTCCTAGGGACCCTAGAGAAAGCTGGCTATTTTTTTTGCAAGTCACCATGCTTGATTGTGTTAGAATATGTGCATACAATTGTCCTCTCTTAAAGCCGCCTGTAGGAGAAGGAGTGGCAGAATCAGGGGCGGAGTCAAATGAGGAATCAGCCTAGAATCCTTACGTACCTTATTTTTTGGAGTATAAAACACTTCGGACTATAAGACACACCTACCTTTTTGGGGGAGGAAAACAAGAAAAAAAATCTGCCTCTGCGTCTGCCTTCCAGCAATTTTCCTCCTTGCAGCAAACAGCAAACAACCTGCTTTAGTTTCATTTTCATTTTCAGCACAGCCTGATTAGCACAAGAAAAAAAAAATCTGCCTCCCAGCAATTTTCGTCCTTGCAGCAAACAGCGGAGTCCTGCGTGGCAATCCCTGCAGCCTGAAACAGCTGAGGGTCGCGAGGCCGATCCAACCGACAATCAGCTTCTTGTGCTGATCAGGCTGTGCAAAAGCTGAAACGGGCTGTTTGCTGCAAGGACGAAAATTGCTGGGAGGCAGAGGCTAAAAGGGAGGGGGCAGCGGATGAGCAAGGCTACATTTGGTGTATAAGACACACCCAAATTTTCACCCTCTTTTAGGGGTGGGAAAGTGCATCTTATACTCTGAAAAACAGTAGCCACAAATGAATTAAGTCCAATGGTGAATTCCATTGTTTCTATCCAGCACCAAAATAGTGCTGTTAGTTATGTAGATTCCTGTGTATTGGCACAGGAATCAGTTTAACTAAAACCTCTTGGTCTTTGTGTCTGAAACACAAAGGGAATATAGTCCAGGTTTTTCTCCACCCCCTACAAAAAATGCCAACTTGCGTTCACGATGGAGATGTTCACAGGCACAAGTTCTAGAGATGTTTCTCGCTCCACAACCTTGCAATTGATTTGCTTCTTTCTCCTTCTCCTTCTCCTTCTCCTTCCCCTTCTCCTACTTCTCCTTCCCCTTCTCCTTCCCCTTCTCCTTCCCCTTCCCCTTCTCCTTCTCCTTCTCCTTCTCCTTCTCCTACTTCTCCTTCTCCTTCTCCTTCCCCTTCCCCTTCTCCTACTTCTCCTTCTCCTACTTCTCCTTCTCCTTTTCCTTCTCCTTCTCCTTCCCCTTCCCCTTCCCCTTCTCCTTCCCCTTCCCCTCCCCCTCCCCCTTCTTCTCCTTCTCCTTCTCCTTCCCCTTCCCCTTCTCCTTCTCCTTCCCCTTCCCCTTCCCCTTCTCCTTCTCCTTTTCCTTTTCCTTCCCCTTCCCCTTCTCCTTCTCCTTCTCCTTCCCCTTCCCCTTCCCCTTCTCCTTCTCCTTTTCCTTTTCCTTCCCTTCCCCTTCCCCTTCTCTTCTCCTTCTCCTTCTCCTTCCCCTTCCCCTTCTCCTCCCCCTACTTCTCCTTCTTCTCCTTCTCCTTCTCCTTCGCCTTCTCCTTCCCCTTCCTTCTCCTTCTCCTTCCCCTTCCCCTTCTCCTACTTCTCCTTCTCCTTCTCCTTCCCCTTCCCCTTCCCCTTCCCCTTCCCCTTCTCCTTCCCCTCCCCCTCCCCCTTCTTCTCCTTCTCCTTCTCCTTCCCCTTCCCCTTCTCCTTCTCCTTCTCCTTTTCCTTCCCCTTCCCCTTCCCCTTCTCCTTCTCCTTCTCCTTCTCCTTCCCCTTCCCCTTCTCCTCCCCCTACTTCTCCTTCTCCTCCTCCTCCTCCTTCTTCTACCTGGAATGGTGGCTGATGCTGAAGTTCCTTCCAGAGGGCCAGCGTTTTGGAGAAAACTAGGAAGCCCCACTGCTGACAAAGAGAGAGCAGTTGTCCTGATGTGGAAGGTAGGAGAAGACACCAAGCTATAGGAGAAGGTCTGGCAGAAGCTGGGGGTGGAGTAAAAAGAGGGATCAGTACTGCATTCTCACCATTGTGCCATCACTGTCCCTTCCTTCCTTCCTTCCTTCCTTCCTTCCTTCCTTCCTTCCTTCCTTCCTTCCTTCCTTCCTTCCTTTCCTTCCCAGTTAGCACTTAGACTTACAGTGCTTTTTACAACCCTTTCTAAGCGGTTTACAGAGTCAGCCTATGGCCCCCAACAATCTGGGCTCTCATTTTACCAACCTCAGAAGGATGGAAGGCTGAATCAACCTTGAGCCTGGTGAGATTCGAATTGTCAAATTGCAGGCAGCCGGCAGTCGGGAGAAGTAGCCTGCAGTACTGCACTCTAACCACTGTGCCACCATCATTAAAAAAAAAAGTCATAAAATCAAGCATGACTAACTTAACCACCGTCTTGTTTAACAACAGAAATTCTGATCCTAATTGTGGCTGTAAGTCAAGGATCTACCCGTATCCTGACTTTTCAGGATCCCTCTCCCAGGCCATGAAGGCTTAGCCCCGTCCCTTTGAGGAGAGCAGCTCTTAACATACTAGCTTAGTATTTTTTTCAACATTGGCAACTTTAAGACGGGTGGACTTCAACTTTCCAGAGCTGGCTGGGGAATTCTGGGAGTTGAAGTCTGTCCATCCATGTCCCGTTTCCCCCCCCCCCCACATCTTAATGTTGCCAAGGTTAAGAAACACAGTACTAGGATAAACCTTGATGAAACTGAAATATCTAAGATAGGCAAACACAGGTTGCATAGCTTTCCTTTCAAAGGTAAAGTTTCCCCTCGCACATATGTGCTAGTCGTTCCCGACTCTAGGGGGCGGTGCTCATCTCCGTTTCAAAGCCGAGGAGCCAGCGCTGTCCGAAGATGTCTCCGTGGTCCTGTGGCCGGCATGACTCAACACCAAAGGCACACGGAACACTGTTACCTTCCCACCAAAGGTGGTCGCTATTTTTCTACTTGCATTTTCTACCTGCTTTCGAACTGCTCGGTTGGCAGAAGCTGGGACAAGTCACGGGAGTTCACCCCGTTACACGGCACTAGGGATTCGAACTGCTGGACTGCCGACCTTTCGATCGACAAGCTCAGCGTCTTAGCCACTGAGCCACCGTATCCCTGTTGTATCCCTATTATATTATATATAACCCTATATATATATAAGGTTTCCTTAATGGTGGACTTTTGCGTAGTTTTTTTTTTTTTTTAAATTTGATTTATATGCCGCCCTTCTCCGGAGACTCAGGGCGGCTTACAAGGCGTTAAGCAATAGCCTTCATACTTTTGTATATTTTATACAAAGTCAGCTTATTGCACCTACAAACTGGGTCCTCAATTTACCTACCTTAGAAAGGATGGAAGGCTGAGTCAACCTTGAGCCTGGTGAGATTCGAACTTACAGTAATTGCAGGCAGCTGGTGTTAATCACAATGCTATCAGTCTGCTGAGCCACCAGGCCCTAGTATGCAGTCGATTGCCTTTTCCTTTGTCGTTCCTTATCTTAGCCTTCTTCTCTCCCTGAAACCTGATCACAGGCCTCGTCTTTTCATTTATCCTGCTAGCCCTTGAAGCCCAAGGATGCCAACGGCGAGATTTTGGGATACAGCCTCCGCTCTCAGAGGAAAGGGGAGCTCACGGTGCCCGCGTGCATCACCTCTCACCACCTGAAGTGTCGTCTGCTCCTCCCGGCTGGCGAAGAATTCACCTTTTATCTCACCGCCAGAAACACGGTTGGCATCTCACCTCCAACCAGGCTGGTGATTCCAGCCTTCCGTAACCCAGAAGGTAAGATTTGCAAGAGTCGTTATAAAAGGGGGGGGAAAAAACTGGCTTAAATGTTTCGCCACCCCTTTTTGGCGGGTGGCAAAAATAGGAAGAGACGTTTCTGCAAACTAAATTTGGGGAGGAAGGGAAATTGTGTTGGTCCATCTTGTTCTCTCCTTGATCAACGTAAGAAGCAGAATGTCTATGGCAGGGGTGGGTTCTAACATTTTTTACTACCAGTTCTGTGGGCGTGGCTTATTTTGTGGGCGTGGTTTGATGGTCATGTGACAATTCTTTAGGATTTAGCAGAGGTACTGGTCTACCAGGCTTTTAACTGCTTGCAGAGCTGTACCAGTCTACTCATTTGTTCTTGGAGCGTTCCGGTCTACCCATTTGTTTTTGGAGGCACCGGTCTACCCCCACACTGCCTTTTAACACTGATCAGCTGTAGGGCGGCCCTTTGAAGCCCCACGGCAAGAATTTAAACAGCTTTTTCCTTCTAGCCAATCAGCTGGGACTCGGGGGGGGCAGCGAATAGATTGGGGGCAGGGCCAAATAAAAGGTAAGAATAACATGGGGGTGGGGCGGGAGGGCCCAGCTCCTGAACAAAGAGAACCGGTTCGGTGACATCATATTGTCACCGCTACCGGCTCGGCCGAACCGGGCCGAACCGGGAGGAACCCACCACTGGTCTATGGAGATTCTCAATCATCCATGGTTGTCCCAAAGGTGCTTTTATTTTACAAGAGGCAACTGGACTTTCTTGTTTTTCTTCGAAGACGTTTCCCTTCTCATCCAAGAAGCTTCTTCAGCTCTGACAGGATAGTGGGGAATGGAAGGATTTATGTGTTCTGACCTAGGCTCCCTTAAAAAGCAGGAAGCTGAGTCTTGGTCCTGGCAAAACCTCTTTTATTTACACGACTGTGAATTACATTCATTCACCATTAGCAAGGCTTGTTCAAACAATTTTCCAAAGGAATATTTATCAACACACCTTATCTCACTTGGCAAGCTGCCACGTAACTTGTTTCCAAATGCAGAGTAAGGCAAAACTTGGCACAGAGTCTCTGAGAATCACGAACAGAACTTTCCACTCTTGAAACGAATAAATGAACAAATTGTTTCCTGCAAAAGCCCACTCCCCGTTCTCTCCTCTTTTGTTTCCTATGGGAGGGGCCAATCACCTCCAAGGTGTAGCTTTACTCCCAAGTCGACCCTGCTATCTGAGTTGTTCTTATCTTCTGGCAGCTCTGCGCATGTGCACATTGGGAACAGGCTCCAGCTGTTCCTCTGCCTCACTGCTGTCTAGCTCCCTCTCTGCCTTAGCTGTTCCCTTTGTCTGGAAACTCTGCGTCACACTGGGAACAGGCTCCAGCTATTCGTCTGCCTCACTGATGTCTGACTCCGAAGGCAGCTGATAACTGTCAGACGGCCCTGGTCCCATCTCTGCCTCCGACACAGAGCCCTCATCTGAGCTTTCACCAGCCCCCAGGACTGGCCCATGTTCCTCCCCAACCTCCTCACTGTCTGACTCTGCTGCCAGCTCCACTGGCCACCAGCAGGCCACAATACTATATTCCTTGCAGACAGCTGGTCATTTGCATTCTTCTGGAGAGTCGTTGAGGCCACTTGGAGGCTTCTCTGTGTCCTCAGAGTCACCTGAGTGGCTCAAATGGCTGTGGATCCTTCTTGGCTGCAGGATGTTTTCTGCCCTGGGTCCCTTCCCTGTTGAAGACAGACGCAGGCTGATGGGGATGAGTGTTCTGCCCCAGCTACGGACCCCAAAGAACGCAGCACACACAAAGTCCGTTCAAACCTTAGTTTACTGAATAAACCAGTCTTTTACAACAACGGCTGTTAATTAATTGCATTAACAGCCACCAAGAATTCAAAAAATAATAACTGAAAGCTTACTATGGTTGGCAGAATGCCCAGAAGCAATTCGCAGGAAGCTGATAAGATAAGCAAGAGAAGACACGAAGGTATGTGAACGAAGTTGTTCCCTGCAAATTGCTTCAGTCGGCGTTCCTCCTTAAATAGGCTAAGGGAATGGCCAATTAGCCCCAAGCCTTACTCTCGAGGAGACCTCCTCCTGAGGAGCCACTCCTGCCTTTTGGCAGCTCTGCGCGCCCGTGCATCGAGAAGAGGCTCCTCCTCTTCGTCCTCTTCACTTAAGGGAGCTTCTGGAGGTTCTGAAGGCCCTGGCTGAATCCCTGCCTCTGGCACCACATCTTCTCCAGCCTCCTCATTGTCCGACTCGAGTGCCAGCTGCAAAGGCTGCTGACGCAGCACCACACCAGCCTCCTCACTGTCTGAATCAGCTACTAGCTTCACAGGCCGCGAACGGGCCACAACAATGAGTCTGTGTTGTCTGCATCTCAAACAGAAGAGCAAATGGTTCCTGCAATTTTAGATAAACCTCCAAGTAACCTCAATGACTCTCTAAAAAGGATGCAAATGACCAGCTGTCTGCAAGAAGTATAAATCCTTCCATTCCCCATCATCCAGTCAGAGCTGAAGAAGCTTCTTGGATGAGAAGTGAAACGCCTTCAAAGAAAAACCAGAAAGTCCAGTTGCCTCTTGAAAAAAGCACCTTTGGGACATGAGAAGCAGATGGCAACATTAAAATTATACAAAATCCATATTTCTCAACTTTGGGAACTTTAAGATGCATGGACCTCACACATCCTGGCTGGGGAATTCTGAGAGTTGAAGTCCAGGCATCTTAAAGCTGCCAAGGTTGAGAAACTCTATAAATTGCCTCTCTTTTTTGTCTCTAGTCCCACCTTCCCCTCTGTCCATCCTGGTGTCTTCGGCAGGGGACCACTCCCTCCTCTTACAGTGGTCTCTTCCCAGCAACCCCAAGATGGACTTTGTTCTGGAGTGGAACAAACTGCCTGAGAAGGAAGTGGGAGACCCACACTGGCAATATCAGTCGGAACACGTCAACCGTACGGTCATTAGGGGTGAGTGTGGTTGATAATGGTGAGGATGGAGAGAATAGAGGCAGGAAAAAGAGTTGCTAAAGCAACAAGGGGCATAGTGAGAGAAAAAGGGAGGGAGAGAGGAGGGAGGAGGAGGAAAGGGAGGGAGGGAGTGGAGAGGGGAGGAGGAAGAAGAGAGAGGGAGAAGAATGAAGGGAGGAAGGTGTCAGCATTCCAGAACCACCCAACTCCAATTAAAAACTCCAAGACAATCTTCATCTCAAAATCTTCATTTATCGGAATAGGTATCCTGGCACATCTGGGAAAACCCGAATCTGAGAGTTCCGGGTTTTCCCTCAATAAATCAAAACCCCATATCCAGCCCCTGCAGCCATCAGTCCATCACGTGGCCCAATCACCATCCGTCCCAACTTGAGACCCCTCTGCAACCACTCCTCCTCCAGATGCAGGAGCGCCATGACCTTGACCGAAGAGAAGAATGCTATTATGTCTAACTAAAATCTCTCAACTAAATCCCCCTTTCCCAAGCGCAAGAAAGTGGCAGCGTGGAAGCTTCCAGGGTTAATATGGCTTCCAAAGCTGACAGAAGGGAGAAAGAAGAGGGAGAGAAGGAGATAGGGAAGGTGGGAGGGAAGGAGGAAAGAAGGAGGGAGGGAGGGAGGGAGGGAGGGAGGGAGGGAGGGAGGAAGGAAGGAAGGAAGGAAGGAAGGAAGGAAGGAAGGAAGGAAGGAAGGAAGGAAGGAAGGAAGGAGCCTGAGTGGCGTAGGAGGCTTATGCCTCCTACTAAGGCAGCATTTAACATCAGCTGCCTGCAATTACTGCGAGTTCAATTCTCACCAGGCTCAAGGTCGACTCAGCCTTCCATCCTTTCTAAGGTAGGTAAAATGAGGGCCTGGTTTGTGGGGGCAATAAGCTGAATTTGTATAAAATATACAAAAGTATGAAGGCTATTGCTTAACACATTGTAAACTGCCCTGAGTCTTCGGAGAAGGGCAGCATATAAAAATAAATTAAAAAAAAAAAAGGAAGGAAGGAAGGAAGGAAGGAAGGAAGGAAGGAAGGAAGGAAGGAGAGAAGGGTGGAAGGGACAGAGGGACGAAGGGTGGAAGTAAGAAGGAAAGGAGGAAAGAAGAAAGAAGAGAGGGAAGGGAGGGAGGGAGGAAGGAAGGAGAGAGAAGGGTGGGAAGGAGGGAGGGATAGAGGGAGGAAGGGAGGAGGAAAGGAGGAAAGAAGAAAGAAGAGAGGGAAGGGAGGGAGGGAGGAAGGAAGGAGAGAGAAGGGTGGGAAGGAGGGAGGAATAGAGGGAGGAAGGGTGGAAGTAAGAAGGAAAGGAGGAAAGAAGTAAGAAGAGAGGGAAGGGAGGGAGGGAGGGAGGAAGGAAGGAGAGAGAAGGGTGGGAAGGAGGGAGGGATAGAGGGAGGAAGGGAGGAGGTAAGGAGGAAAGGAGGAAAGAAGGAAGAAGAAAGGGGAGGAAGGAAGGAAGGAGGGAAGAGTGGGAAGGAGGGAGGGAGAAAGTGTTGAAAGGTGGAAAGAAGGAAGGAAGGAGAGAAGAGAGGGAGGGAGGAGGGAAGGAAGGAAGGAAAGAGAAGGATGGAAGGGACAGAGGGACGGAGGGCGGAAGTAAGAAGGAAAGGTGGAAAGAAGGAAGAAGGAAGGGAAGGAAGGAAGAGGAAGGAAGGAAGGAGAGAGAAGGGTGGGAAGGAAAGGAATGAGAGGAAGTTCAAAGACAAAAGGGGATATTTCTGGGGAAATATCAGAAAGAAAGAATTGCCACAAAGAAAGACAGAAGAGAGGAAAAAGGAAGGTGGGAAAAAAAAGAATAAGAGAGAAGGATGGGCTAGAAAGAATGAATAAGGCATGAATCACAATCCTACGGGGATTTTAGCACCGTCCACTCTTTGCAAGGCCCCTTTGGTGAGGAAAAGCAGCTGCTTGGATGTCTTTGCTGCAGCAACTGGCGTAGAGCCGTTCTCCAGGTTCCACAGAGCCTCCTCTCATGAAGAGGAAATGGGAATGGCATATCTGGGCAGCTGCCTTGCCTGGCTTGCAAGACTGAAGTTGACACACAAACACACACACACACACCCCGTGAACTTCCAACAACGACAAAAACAACAACCCTTCGGATTTTGCACCCAGCCTTTCCAAGGCAGCCAGGAAATTACTTATTGATCCTCTGCTTACACGGCGCATCCTCAGAGAATGCTCTTCGGAATCACACCCACAAGGCCCCCCCTCCGTTGCGAAAATCAGTTTGGCCAGAACCGAGGGGGCTCAATCGAAGGGAGATTTCCTGCAGGCAAAAACTTCACGATGAACTTCGCTGTGAAGCTGCCAGAATTATCAGAGCCAAACAAATGGGGGGGGGAGAGATAGAAAAACCAAACCTCAGGGACGCAAATCGTTTCTGTAATCGCTCGCTTCTTCCTCCTCCTCCTCCTCCTCCTCCTCCTCTTCTAGAAGCCATCGAGCCTGGGCATCTTTATGCCGTGAAGATCTTTGGACTCTTAGATGGACGTCTCGGGGCCTTTGGTTCGGCTCAGGGTTACTCCAAGCAAATCGGTAAGCGGAACCTGTGAGACCTCCTGGGGGTTGATATTCCTGGATTTGGGGGCTGGCTATTGTTTAGTAGAGGGACGTGGTGGCTCAGTGGCTAAGACACTGAGCTTGTCGATCAGAAGGTCAGCAGTTCGAATCCCTGGTGCCGCGTAACGGGGTGAGCTCCCGTGACTTGTCCCAGCTTCTGCCAACCTAGCAGTTCGAAAGCAGGTAAAAAATGCAAGTAGAAAAATAGGGGCCACCTTTGGTGGGAAGGTAACAGCGTTCCATGCGCTTTTAGTCATGCTAGCCACTTGACCACGGAGATGTCTTCAGACAACTCTGGCTCTTTGGCTTTGAAACGGAGATGAGCACCGCCCCCTAGAGTCGGGAATGACTAGCACATATATGCGGGGGAACCTTTACCTTATTATTTAGTAAGAAAGTGCACAATGGCGCAGTGGTTAGAGTGCAGTACTGCAGGCTACTTCTGCTGCCTGCCGGCTGCCTGCAATTTGACAGTCTCAAATCTCACCAGGCTCAAGGTTGACTCAGCCTTCCATCCTTCCGAGGTGGCTAAAATGAGGACCCAAGATTGTTGGGGGTAAGAGGTTGACTCTGTAAACCACATAGAGAGGGCTGAAAAAGCACTGAAAAGCGGTATATAAGCCTAAGTGCTATTGCTATTTGCTATTGCACCACTCATACAGAAAAAGGAAGTATCAGTAGGCTTGGAGTGACCTCAAATTATGGAGAAGTACATGTATAAATATATTTTATTTGCTACCATATTGTGAGGCAGGGGTTTCCAAACTTGGTGACTTTAAGACTGGTAGACTTCAACTCCCAGAATTCCTCCACCAGCCCATTCCTCCGCTAGCCGATATATTACAATGAAAACACTAAAACTGTTTTAAAACTCTAAAAATGAATCGAAAGTAAATACCCACAGCAGTCAAGATACTCCATGCTGGCTGGGGAATTCTGGGAGTTGAAGTCCACAAGTCTTTAAGTGGCCAAAGTTGGAGACCTCCCTTGTTCTAAAGGAATGTGAGAATGACTTTGGGAGAAAAGGGGAAGAGATGCTGCCTAGATACAGAGATAGATAGATAGATAGATAGATAGATAGATAGATAGATAGATAGATAGATAACATTTAAGAACCGTCTCTCTCTCTCTCAGAGGAACTCTGTGTGGGGTACAATAAAATATTAAAAGCATAAAAACAGTATTTTAACTTCCAGTGTTGGAGCATTCACAACTTCTGGAGGCAAGTTGTTCCACTGATTAATTGTTTAACTGTCAGGAAATTTCTCCTTAGTTCTAAGTTGTTTCTCTCTTGATTAGTTTCCATCTGTTGCTTCTTGCCCTGCCTTCAGGTGCTTTGGAGAATAGCTTGACTCCCTCTTCTTTGTGGCAGCTCCTGAGATATTGGAAGACTCCTATCATGTCTCCCCTGGTCCTTCTTTTCATTAGACTAGACATACCCAGTTCCTGCTACTGTTCTTCATGTTTTATCCTCCAGTCCCCTAATCATTTTTGTTGCTCTTCTCTGGATGCAGGGATAGTTCCATTAAAAGACCTAAGTGATTGGCATCCTATTCTGGAGTTATGCTCTTCTGCCACTTTTGGTGGCAAGGTTGATGCTTAGATCTCTCCTTTCTATTTTCCAGCTCCACTTCGGGCCCCGGCTTTGTATCCCACTCAAGTCTGGAAATCTTGGGTGGAGCTGCAGTGGGAGAGGCTCCCTTTGGAAGAAAGGGGTGGCGAGATCCAGAACTACACCCTTTACTACAAGGAAGAGAAGAAGGATGACTATCGTAAGGAGAAACCTTATGCTTCTCAGCAAAGAGTTAGGTTTGAAATTTGCAAGGAGGCCTCAGGAAAGCACCTGGGGTTGAAGTAGAGGTTGCATTGAATTCTTTCAGAAACTTTTCCCTTCCTTTTTTGTGTGTTTTTTAAGCTTCTAGAATCGAGTGTTTCTCAATCTTGGCAGTTTGAAGATGCGTGGACTTCAACTCCCAGAATTCTTTGCTGGCTGGGGAATTCTGGGAGTTTGAAGTCCACCCATCTTCAAGTTGCCAACTACATCATTCGGAGGAGAGTTCCAGCTGTGGAATCTGGGATGGATGCTCTTGAAGGTCTCAGAAATCCATTGAGACAAATTGTGGGGCTCCTGTAATTTTATCCCTCTCATCGTTTTTATTTCTTTAGTAAATTTATGTGCCGCCCATCTCGAATTAGCTAAACCACGAACATGATGGGAAAGAGGTAAGGGGCAGAATGTGGAAGGCAAGGCACAAATATATACCGTGTTTTCCCGAAAATAAGACCTAGCCCGATTTTTACGTGTGTGCCTAATATAAGCCCTTCCCTCAAAATAACCACTAGTGAAGGGGGGTAGGCGTGGCCAGCACAGGAGGCGGCAAATCACAGCTCACACAGCACAGGGGAGGCACTGTTCTGTCCCCATACCACACACGCACCCCCACAGACGGCCCGGAGTTAATATGCCACACGACAAAACTCTTTGAAGATAAAGCTGGCAGCAACCCAGTGGCTAGCTGCCAATTCAGACTTTACTCACACAAAACTAAGATTAGACTGCAAGCATTCCGATAAAACAGGCAGAGTTTCAACAATACAAGGATTAATCCAAATGCAATCCGATAAAGCAGGCAAAGTCCAGTAACGCAGAGATCATGGATTATTTCCAATTTTTGCTTGTCACAAACTGAACCGGCCACCACACCCACATTTATACCCTGTGGGGTGTGGTCCAGTGACTCAGCTAATCTCTGGCACGCCTTCCCCTCTGCTGCGCACGTGTCTCCCTGCGCCTCTGCCGAGGGTCCAGCCAGCACTTATCTTCTTCGTCGCTGTCCACCTTTTGGCCTTCGGTGTCCTCCGGAGGCATTGCCAGAGAGGAGGGTCCTGGAGAGGGAGGCCTTGCCAACTCCTCTCCCTCACTCTTAGAGTCTGCATCTGTCGATAGCCCAGGCTCAGGCAACGGAGCCACAACAATAACACAGCCAACACACAGATACACTGAGTTGTGTTTACTTTCAGGAAATAGTAATAAGGCACAGTCCAATAAACAGTCCAGGTCATACACATATAAAGCAGTAGATATCAAACAATAGTCCAAGGATAATCCAATAACAAAGTCTTCTTACCAGTTGTTGTAGTCATACACAATAACAATTCTTCTGTATTTGCAAACAGTAGCAAACACAGCAAAGAGCAAAGATCAGCAAAGAGAAGCAAAAATATCAAAGAGAAACAAACCATGTTTCTAGCTCCCTTTTAAGGACATTGGCTACAAAGCTAACCAATCAGGACACAGTATGATGCAATACAGCAATCTTAAAGCTATATTTATGGTTTATATATTGCCAACCCAACAAGTTAGGTAAAATCATTTCCTAACAGTTTCTTGTTCTGCCCTCTGGTGCCCAACAGGGGGCGAGCTAGCTCCACCTAGATAAGCTAAATCTACTCTATTGTAAAGCTCCATCAACAGATTCTTGCAAGCCTGACAGTGCAAATATCCCCACTGTCTCCTTTGACAGCCAAAAAAAAAACCTACGCATGGTCTCTTCTGAGCCTCTTTCTCCATCCGTTATGCAGGTCTGGGCTACGTCCTCGCTTATCTGACCACATTGCTTTGCCCCGTCTCTCAAGGTCTTTCTCTCACACACCCCACTTCTAATCCAGCACCTTCACTGCCAGACTGTCCCGAGCCTGAAGTTCCTGACCTAAGCCCAGGTGGTCCTCGATTTACAACAGTTCATTTAGTGACCAAGTTACAACTGCACTGAAAAAAGTGACTTAGGACCGGTTTTTTTTACTCTTATGACTTTTGCAGCATCCCTACAGTCACATGATTAAAATTTATATGCTTGGCAATGGACTTATACCGTGTTTCCCCGAAAATAAGACCCTGTCTTATATTTTTTTGAACCCCGAAATAAGCGCTTGGCCTTATTTTCGGGGAGATCTTATTATTTTGGGGTGCATGGAGCAAGATGGGGATCCTCTTGCCATCTTACTTGATTTCCAGCTCTGCCTCCCTAACTCTAACCAGGGGAAATGGCAGGGACTAACTGCACATGCGGTTAAATAATTTCGGGAGAGGGCTTATTTTTGGGGAGGGCTTATTTTCAGGGGGCTTATTTTGGAAGGGGCTTAAAAGGCCGATTGGGCTTATTATCAGGGGATGTCTTATTTTCGGGGAAACACGGTATTTATGACGGTTGCAGTGTTCCCGGAGTCACACGATCTCCTTTTTGCAACTTTCTGACACGCAAAATCAATAGGGCAATGATGGCTAACCTTTTTGCCATTGCGTGCCAGGAGAGGGGGGTGGGGGAGGGTTGCGCGCATGTACCCATGTGCACGCGCGCGCAACCCGCTCCTGACTCATGATGGCCTTGTAGGCCTGTTTTTCTTTCTTGCCTGGTTCCAGATCCTCTCTATTTATCTGGGAAGGGTGAAAACAGCCTTTCTCACTCCCTCGGAGGCCTTCCAAAGGCCTTAAACGGCCCATTTCCCAACTCCCGGTGGGACAGGAAGTGACGTTTTCTGCTGTCCCCAGCCTCCAGAGCCCCTCTAGGAGTCTCTAGGAGCCTCTCTAGGAGTCTCTGGAGGCTGGGGACAGCAAAAAACGTCACTTCCTGTCCCACCAGGATTCGGGAAATGGGCCCTTTCAGCCTCCGTAGGGCCTCCAAGGAATGGGAAAGGCTGTTTTCGCCCTTCCCAGATAAATAGAGAGGATCTGGAGCCAGGTAAGAAAGAAAAACGGGCCTTCCCCACCCCCACCCCCCAGGCCCTCCAGAGGCAGGAAACAGCCTGTTTCCCTACTTCTGGTGGGCCCAGAAGGCCCGAAAATCAGCTGGCCGACACGCACATGCACCCCAGAGCTGAGCTGGCGTGCCCACTAATATGGCTCCGCGTGCCACCTGTGGCACGCATGCCATAGGTTCGCCATCACGGCAATATGGGGAGCCAGATTCACTTTAAAACCGTTGTTACTAGCTTAACTGTTGCAGTGATTCACTTAGTGGCAGAAAAGCTTGTAAAATGGGGCGAAACTCGCAGAACCACCTGTCTCGCTTAGCGGTGGAAATTTTAGCCTCCGTGGTGGCCATAAGTCGAGACTGTCTGTGGAAAAGGCCCGAAGTGCCAAAGTCAACGGAGTCTTTGCAACTGTCGGTCTGGCCTCTCCCTGCTTCTTCTTTTCCAGGGGCCGTGGTGCTCGACAGCTTGGTGCATCGCTACGTCATCAACGGCTTGGCACCCGGCTCAACCGTGAGGGTGTACATGGTGACGGCCAATGAAGGTGGAAACACCAGAGGATCCGTGCTGTCCATCCGTACCAAGAACTACGGTGAGGATTGTTGACTAGAGGCTGGATAAACCATGGTTCAAGGCAGCTCAGACTGGATGAGAGACCATGAATGCATCCTTTATGTCAAGAGTTCCCAATTCTGGGACTGTGGCTCCCTACCGGACCATGGCCCATTCAGAACTGGGCTCTGGAAGCAGTGGGGGATGGGGGGGCGCAAGCGCAGGTCCACTTAGGCGCTCAGCGGGTGAGCACACACAGCTCCATTTGTGCGAGTGATGGGCACGCGGGCCTCCCTGAGTTACAGCCTGGTACTTAATATGATCTGGAGAACATGTTTATAATGTGTCATTTCTGCAAGCCCGAGTTTTATATAGATATATTATATAGATATATAGAGTTTTATATATATATATTAATGACATGGGCAGCTATATAAATCAGATAGGTAGACAGGCAAATAGATAGATATAGATAGATGATAGATAGGTATGGATAGATAGATGTATGGATAGACAGGTAAGCAGGTAGGCAGGCAGGCAGGCATAGATGACAGGAAGGAAGGATGGATGGATGGATGGATGGATGGATAGATGGATGGATGGATAGATAGATAGATAGAGGCAGGCATAGATGACAGATAAGACAGATAGATAAGAAAGATAAATAGACAGACAGACAGATATACAGACAGGGAGACATAGATGACAGATAAGATGATAGATAGATAGATAGATAGATAGATAGATAGATAGATAGATAGATAGATATAGACAGACAGATAGACAGACAGACAGACATAGGCAGGCAGGCATAGATGACAGATAAGATGGTAGGTATGTAGGTAAGTAGGTAGACAGATAGATAGATAGATAGATAGATAGATAGATAGATGATAGACAGGTAGGTAGGTAGGTAGATATAGGCAGGTAGGCATAGATGACAGATAAAACAGATAGATAAGAAAGATAAATAGACAGACAGATATACAGACAGGGAGACATAGATGACAGATAGATAAGAAAGATAAATAAATAGACAGACAGACAGACCAATTCTGGGAGTTGGAGTCCACATATCTTAAAAGTTGCCAAGATTGGGGAAACACTGCACAAAATGGCAATCTAAGAATGAGCCAGAAGCAATTTTTCTGGCCACTCTGCAATCCTCCAGCTTGGTGACATTCACACAAAACGTTTTACCCCAAGCCAGATAAACAAACCTGAATTGTCAAGCATCCATCATCTGCAACCCAATTATGGCGTAACATTGGGCCTGTTCGCATAGCCTGCTGAGACAAGAATCCAACCATCTCTATTTTAGCCTGGTTTGAGTGTGTTGTGTGACTGAAAACCTGTACCTTTTTTTTTTTTAAAGTGAGTTGTTGAAATCCTCTTTCGCTTAAACCTTCTTTTCTCTTTTAATCCAGACTACGGGGAAGTTGAAATCCTGATCTCAGTTTTTTGCATAGGGTTCATCATTCTCCTTGCAGGAACTCTGGTCTGCGTTTCCAGACATCGATCGTCTGTCAATAAGTACTGTGTTTTCAATTTATCATTGTCATTCCCTATGTCTGCCTATCTATCTATCTATCTATCTATCTATCTATCTATCTATCTATATCATCTCTCTCTCTTTCTCTCTCATCTATCTATCTGTCTGCCTGTCTGCCTGCCTGCCTGCCTCTCTGTCTGTCTGTCCATCCGTCCGTCCATCCGCCTGCCCGCCTGCCCATCCATCCATCCCTCTCTTTCTCTCTCATCTATCTATCTATCTATCTATCTATCTATCTATCTATCTATCTATCTATCTCTATCATCTCTCTCTCTTTCTCTCTCATCTATCTATCTGTCTGCCTGCCTGCCTGCCTCTCTGTCTGTCTGTCCATCCATCCGTCCATCCGTCTGCCCGCCTGCCCATCCATCCATCCCTCTCTCTTTCTCTCTCATCTATCTATCTATCTATCTATCTATCTATCTATCTATCTGCTGCCTGCCTCTCTGTCTGTCTGTCCGCCCGCCCGCCTATCCATCCATCCATCCATCCATCCATCCACCCGCCTATCCATCTATCCATCTATCCATCCATCCATCCATCTATCATCTCTCTTTCTCTCTCATCTATCTATCTATCTGTTGCCTGCCTCTCTGTCTGTCTGTCTGCCCGCCCGCCTATCCATCCATCCATCCATCCATCCATCTCTATCATCTCTCTTTCTCTCTCATCTATCTGTCTATCTGCCTGCCTCCCTCCCTCTCTGTCCGTCCGTCAGTCCGTCAGTCCGTCTGTCCATCTATCTGCCCGCCCGTCTGCGCATCCGCGCATCCATCCATCCATCCATCCGTCTCTATCATCTCTCTTTCTCTCTCATCTATCTATCTGTCTGTCTGCCTGCCTGCCTGCCTGCCTCTCTGCCTGTCTGTCTGTCCATCCAACCATCCATCCGCCTATCCATCCATCCATCCATCTATCCATCCATATCTATCTATCTATCTATCTATCTATCTATCTATCTATCATCTATCTCTATCTCTCTCATGTATCTATCATCTATCATCTGATCTATCAGTCTATCTATTTATATATATCTTTTTCATCTATCATTTTTTCTATTATCTATCATGTATCTATTTATCATCTGTATATCTATCTTCTATATCATCTACATATCTATCTATCTAACATCTATCAACTCTCTCTCGGTATGTCTCTATCTATAACCTATCTATCATCATCTATCCATCGAGTAGATCTTTAACAGGAGAAAGGGAGGAGTCAGGGGGTGGGGCTTATTGGGTTCTGAGGCGGGTCTTTCTCTTTGTGAATGGCGCTATCGAGGAAAAATTTTGTAGTGTGCTCAAATTTGTATCTGCAGATTCTGCATTGGGTTCTTTTTAGGATTCAGGAATTGGGAACTGGCACAAATATGTAACAAAAATATATTAGGACAAAATGCACTTGCAGCCTGTATGTATACCTTTCTTTTTTTTAAAAAAATTGGGGTGATATTTCAAGTCCTGGCCCCCCCAGAGCAGAAAACTTAGCATCCCCAGGATAAGATTAGACAATAACTTCAGCTCTTTTAATGAAGATTGAAGGGTTGGAAGGATTTAAACCTGTGTACGAAGCCTATTGACTTATTCGTGTTTCTTAATATTTCCAAAAATAGTGCAAAATCATTATTTAGAAGGCGGAAGGAGTTGGATGAAAGCTGCAAATCTATGCAACAGGGTTAAATGGTCAACAACATGACCTCAGAAAATGGGAAGGGGAGAAACACAAAAGAAAGAGAAAATTGGCCCGAAAATTGTTATAAACAGAACTGTTAATGAATTTCTGCAGGAGATGTTCGATAACCCGGAAAGCACAAGCAAAAGATTTTTAAACAGGAACAGAAGCAGATTATAATGAGGACATTTTCTTTATAAATCTTATCAGCAGTTCATGTTTCTGTTCAAAGGACGTGCTGATGGGAAGCCAATTACGACTGCAAATGACCCTAAAATTTCTGTCGCTAAGCGAGATAGTTCTTCAGTGAACTCTGACCCATTTTACGATCTTTCTTGCCACAGTTGTTAAATGAATCGCTGCACTTGTAAAGTTAGTAACCCGGTTATTAAGGGAATCTGGCTTCCCATTTGACTTTTATGTGTCAGAAGATTGCAAAAATCACAGGATCCAGGATGCTGCAACCATCATAAATACATGCCACTTGCTAAAAAAAATACCCCGAATTTTGATCACATGACCATGGGGATGGTCGTAGGTGTGAAAATCGGTCATAAGTCACTTTTTTCAGTGCCGTTGCAACTTTGAACGGTCACTAAACGAATGGCTGTAAATTGAGGACTAAATGAATGGTTGTAAGTCGAGGACTACAAATAACAAGCCCATTTCTACTCAAGGCTGAACTCCAATTCTCCTCATCCACCTGGGGGAGATGGGAGTTGTAATCCAATCCTTTTATAAGGAGCCCATTTGAGAAAATGCAACCATAAGCATCCTCAAAACCTCCCTTAGGGGACTAATTTTTAATCTGTAAATGATTATTGTAAAACAGTTATAGTTATAGTCAAGCAGGGCTGGCGTGAAACACCCCCCCCCGCCCTTTTTTTTTTTTAGCCTTTTAAATTATCAATGGGTTTTAGTTTGAATGTTTTAAATTTGGGGCCAAAGTCATATAATTCTTTTAAAAATTTTAAATTTTGTATTGGTATGTGTTTTAGTTCTGGCTGTGCACGGCCCTGGGTCCACTAGGAGAAGGGCGGGATACAAATTGAATTAATTAAATAAATAAATAAATAAATAAATAAATAAATAAATAAATAAATAAATAATAAAGTCATACCATTAAGTACCATTGTGGACAAAAGATCTGATAGGATAGAATAGAATAAAAGAGTTGGAAGAGACCTTGGAGGTCTTCTAGTCCAACCCCCTGCTTAGACAGGAAACCTTCAGACAAATGGCTGCCCAATCTCTTCTTAAAAGCATCCAGTGTTGGAGCATTCACAACTTCTGGAGGCAAGTTGTTCCACTGATTAATTGTTCTCACTGTCAGGAAATTTCTCCTTAGTTCTAGTTGCTTCTCTCCTTGATTAGTTTCCATCCATTGCTTCTTGTCCTGCCCTCAGGTGCTTTGGAGAATAGCTGGACTCCCTCTTCTTTGTGGCAGCCCCTGAGATATTGGAAGACTGCTATCATGTCTCCCCTAGTCCTTCTCCTCATGAAACTAGACATACCCAGTTCATGCAACCGTTCTTCGTATGTTTTAGCCTCCAGTCCCCCAATCATCTTTGTTGCTCTTCTCTGCACTCTTTCTAAAGTCTCCACATCTTGTTTACATCGTGGCAATCAAAACTGAATGCAGTATTCCAAGTGTGGCCTTACCAAGGCATTATAAAGTGGTATTAACACTTCACCTGATCTTGATTCTATCCCTCTGTTGATGCAGTCTAGAACTGTGTTGGCTTTTTTTAAAATAAGTATGCACAATCACTTTGAACGGTTGCTAAGCAAGCGGTCGTAAATCGAGGGCTACCTGTAGAAGAAAGACTAAGACATTGGTGACACTGCTGTATTTTGGTCTCTCAAAATATCATCTTGGTTCTTTTGAAACTCATTTGGTTTCATTTTTCAAACGGATAACTGAGAGCTTCTTGCTGTTTTTACAAAACGCAAAAGGATTGCTGAGTTCTTATTATTTACAGGTTGTGGTTTTCCGTTTAATTTTCAGACTTCGGAAGTATCTATGGCCACAGATTCCAGATCCAAGAAAAAGCAATTTGGCTACTTGGATACCACAGAACATGTGCCTGGTAAGTGAGCCTCAGGGGAAGGGGCAGCTGGGTATTTTCCCCAGGAAAAAAGACAACCCGGAATGCAATTTTAAAATGGGTAGACTTCAACTACGGCTTTTGATACCATCGACCATGGTATCTTACTGCACCGGCTGGAGGGGTTGGGAATGGGGGGCACCGTGCTTCGGTGGTTCTCCTCCTTCCTCTCTGACCGTTTGCAGTTTGTGTTGGCAGGGGGGCAGAGGTCGACCTCGAGGCACCTTATTTGTGGGGTGCCGCAAGGGTCACTCCTCTCACCCCTTCTGTTCAACATTTATGTAAAACCGCTAGGCGAGATCATCCGTGGTTTCGAGGTGAGTGTTCATCAGTATGCTGATGACACACAGCTATACATCTCCACCCCAGACCACCCCAATGATGCCCTTGCTGTGATGTCCCGTTGCCTGGAGGCCGTGCGGAGCTGGATGGGGAGAAACAAGCTCAGACTCAACCCCTCCAAGACCGAGTGGCTGTGGCTTCCGGCGTCCTGGTATAGTCAGCTGTTACCATCACTGACAATTGGGGATGAGATCCTGCTCCCCACAGAGAGGGCCCGCAACTTGGGTGTCCTCCTGGATTCACGGCTTTCTTTAGAAGATCATTTGATGGCCGTGGGGTGCCTTTTATCAGGTTCGCCTGATCCGCCAGTTGCGTCCCTTTCTGGATCGGGACGCCTTGCGCACGGCCACTCATGCCCTAGTTACCTCCTGTATGGACTACTGTAATGCTCTCTACATGGGGCTCCCCTTGAAAAGCACCCAGAGGCTCCAACTGTTCCAGAACGTAGCCACGCAGGTGATTATGGGCGCAGCTCGTTACGCCCATGTAACACCTCTCCTACGCGAACTGCACTGGCTCCCGGTGGTCTTCCGGGTGCGATTCAAGGTGTTAGTTATCACCTTTAAAGCGCTCCATGGCTTAGGACCTGGGTACCTACAAGACCGTCTTTTGCCACCAATAGCCTCCCACCAACCAGTTCGTTCTCACAGGGAGGGACTACTCAGGGTACCATCAGTCAAATTATGTCGACTGGCGACTCCCACGGGGAGGGCCTTCTCTGTGAGGGCTCCAACCCTTTGGAATGAACTGCCCCCGGAGATACGGAATATCCCTGATCCCGTGCTTTCCACCGTGCCCTCAAGACCCTGATGTTCCAACAGGCAGGGCTAAACATACAAACATGTGAATGATTTTTTAAATGTTATCTAATTCTGGGTTTTATTTAATTGACCAAACAAAGTAACAATTTTAATTAGCAATTTTATGATGTTTGTGTGTCTATATTTTTCTTGACTGTACACCGCCTTGAGTCCTACGGGAGAAAGGCGGTATAGAAATATAATAAATAAATAAATAAATAAACTCCCAGAATGCCTCAGGCATCATTTCTGAACATCAACTCCCAGAATGCCTCAGGTGTCATTTCTGGACTTCAACTCCCAGAATGCCTCAAGCGCCATTTCTGTTCTTCAAAATTCCTCAACTGGCATTTGTGGACTTCAACTCCCAGAATGCTTCAGTTGACATTTGTGGACTTTAAAATTTCTCAACTGGCATTTGTGGATTTCAACTCCCAGAATGCCTCAGCCAGCGTGTTTTTCTGCCTCCCCAATTCTACAGCTACTGGGCATGCTCAGTTTTCTTTTGTTTCTTTAAGAAATTCCATCACACTAAGATCTTGGCCTGAGCTTGCCAACTTTTATCCAGGGATGGTGTCAGTTTGGCTGAATGACCCTAAAACCATCACCTCTCTTAACAACCAGAGACAATGTTGATCCAGGTCCACCCATCAGGTGGAAAATTATAGGGAGTCCTTGACTGACAGCCATCATTTGAAGTTATGGTGGCATCGAAAAAAGGGACGTATGATCATTTTTCACACTTCCAACTAGTATAGCATTGTCATGGTTACATGCAGCGGTGGGATTCAGCCGGTTCGGACCAGTTCGGTTAAACCGGATGTTGATTTTAATCTGGTCCGCTGAACCGGTTGTTCCAAGGACTGGCTGACCCCGCCCACCCCCTCCCAGGAGTCTCCACGCGGCCCATTTTGGATGCCGGGTAAGTGTAGGGTGCGCGCCAAGGCTCTGGGAGGGTGAAAAAAGAGCCTACCGAAAGTCTGGAAACAGGGCCTTTTCCAGCCTCCGGTGCCCAGGGGAAGCCGTTTTCACCCTCCTGGAGGTTCCAGGAAAGCCTCTGGAGCCTGGGGAGGGCGAAAAACGGGCCTACCAGAAGTACTGGAAGTCTGGAAACGGGCCCGCAAAGCGAACCGGTTGTTATAACTGGTGAATCCCATCACTGGTTACATGATTTACATGATCAAAATTCAGATGCTTGGCAAAACAGCATGTATTTATGATGGTTGCAGTGTCCCAGGGTCATGTACAGATAGTCCTCAACTTATGACCACCAACGAGCCCAACATTTTCATTGCTAAATGCAACAGTTGTTCAGTGAATTTTGACTTGTGTACGATTTTTCTTGCCCCAGTTGTTAAGTGACTCACTGCAGTTGTTAAGTTAATGACAGGGTTGTTAAGTGAATCCGGCTTCCCCATTGACTTTGCTGGTCAGAAAGTCGCAAAGGGGGATCCCGTGACTCTGGGACACTGCAACCGTCATAAATATGAGTCAGTTATCAAGCGACTGAATTTTGATCCCGTGACTAGAGGATGCTGCAAAGGTCATAAGTGTGAAAAATTGCCACGACTCTCTTTTTTTGGTGCCATTGTAATTTTGGACAGGCACTCAATGAGCTGTTGTAAGTTGAGGACTACCCGTAATCAGCTTTTGTGACTTTCTGACGGGCAAAGTCAACGGGGAAACCAGATTCACTTAACAACCATGTTACTAACTTAATAACTGCAATGATTCATTTAACAAATGTGGCAATAAAGATCGTAAAATGGGGCACAGCTCTCTTAAACAATTGTCTCGCTTAGCGGCAGAAATGTTGGGCTCAATTGCGGTTGTAAGTTGAGGACTAGCTGTATTCGTTGTTGGTGCAGATACAGGCAGTCCTCGACTTACAACCGTTCATTTAGTGACCGTTCAAAGTTACAATGGACCTGAAAAAAAGTGACTTAGGACTGTTTTTCACAGCAATGACTCACAGCATTCCCCCAGTCACATGATTTGCATTTGGATGCTTGGCAACTGGTTCACACTTATGACCATTGCAGCGTCCCAGGTCATGTGATTCCCTTTGGCGTCTTCACAACTTTACAAGTGTGTAATTAACTTATCAACTGCAGTGATTCGCTTAACAACTGTGGCAAGAAAAGTTGTAAAAATGGGGCAAAACTCACTTAACAAATGTCTCGCTTAACAACAGAAATTTTGGGCTCAATTGTGGAACTATCTGTACATCTACCTTAAACATGATCTTCTTCTCTTCTCTTCTCTCTTCCTTTCCTTTCCTTTCCTTTCCTTTCCCTTCCCTTCCCTTCCCTTCTCTTCCTTTCCTTTCCTTTCCCTTCCTTTCCATTCTCTTCTCTTCTCTTCTCTTCTCTTCTCTTCTCTTCTCTTCTCTTCTCTTCTCTTCTCTTTTCTCTTCTCTTCTCTTCTCTCTTCCTTTCCTTTCCTTTCCTTTCCTTTCCTTTCCTTTCCTTTCCCTTCCCTTCCCTTCTTCCTTTCCTTTCCTTTCCTTTCCCTTCCTTTCCATTCTCTTCTCTTCTCTTCTCTTCTCTTCTCTTTCTCTTCTCTTCTCTTCTCTTCTCTTCTTTCTCTTCTCTTCTCTTCTCTTCTCTTTTCTTCCTTTCCCTTCCCTTCCCTTCTCTCTTCTCTTCTCTTTTCTTCTCTCTTCTCTTCTCTCCTCTTCACTCTTCCTTTCCTTTCCTTTCCCTTCCATTCTCTCCTCTTCTCTTCTCTCTTCCTTTCCCTTCCCTTCCCTTCCTTTCCCTTCCCTTCCCTTCCCTTCCATTCCCTTCTCTTCTCTTCTCCTCTCTTCTTTCCTCTCTCTTCCTTTCCTCTCTCTTCCTTTCCTTTCCCTTCCCTTCCCTTCTCTCCTCTCCCTTCCTCTCCTTTCTTCTCCCCTCCCCCTCCCCTTTTCCCATCCCATTCCTTTCCCCCCTCCCTTCTCCTCTCTTCTCTTCTCCTCCCCTCCCCTCCTTCCCTCCCCCTCTCCTCTCCCTCCCCTCCTCTTCTCCACCTCTTAGGACTTCACTTCTCATGGCAATGAGAAATGGAGCCAGGCTTACCTTGGAGTGACCATCAGTGACCTCATCCAGGTGTTTCCTTCTCAACCCGAGGATGCAGATCCGGAACTCTTCCTGGGAAAGCCGCCATGGCCGGTGGAGTCTCCCAAGGCTTTGCAGAAGGTCGTCCCCGTGACCAAAAACGGGACAGCATCATCCCAGGAACCCGAAGACCAGCAGGTCCAGAAACCTCTGGCCACTTGCAACGAGGTGGAATACTCCCGGGTGTTGGTGATCAAAAGCAGCCAAGGACCAGGCGAAACCTGGGGCGCTCCTCCTTGTATCTGGTCCAGTTGCTGGGATCTGGCCAAAACACGCCCCGAATCGCCCTTTAAGCAACAATTCTGGGTTCAGAATTTGACCTATGAGACTTTATTAGATGCCGCGTCCTATAAAAGGGCAACCATTGGATCCGTGGGTGAATTTCCACTCTTGGTTAGTCTGGTGACCAGGGATGGAGGAGAGCTACACTCTGTGGAGAAGTCACACCCCTAAACCAGGGGTGGGTTCTAACAGGTGTTGTTACCACCCGGTTCGCTTCGCGGACGCGCCTTGATTTAGCTAAACAGCTGAGGCAGGGCAATCCGCTCTGCCGGGCCTTTCAGCTGGGTGAAAAACGAAGGAATAAAGGTAGGAATACCGTAGGGGTGGGGCGGGAGGGCCCAGCTGACGGTAGGAGCGAACCGGTTAGCTCTCACATCAACATTTCCGCTACCGGCTCTCCCGAACCGGGGAGAACCGGTAGCAACCCATCGCTGCCCTAAACAGATCTCGTAAGACTTTAGGTCTCAGCAGTGGTGAAATCCAATTTTTTTTACTACTGGTTCTGTCGGTGTGGCTTGGTGGGCGTGGCAGAGCAAGGATACTGCAGAATCTCCATTCCCACCCCACTCGAGCGGGAAGGATACTGCAAAATCCCCATTCCCACCCCACTCCAGCGGGAAGGATACTGCAAAATCTCCATTCCCATCCCACTCCAGGGGGAAGGATATTGCAAAATCTCCATTCCCACCCCACTCCGGGCGGAAGGATACTGCAAAATCTCCATTCCCACCCCACTCCGGGGGGAAGGATACTGCAAAATCTCCATTTCCACCCCACTCCTGAGGGAACGATATTGCAAAATCCCCATTCCCACCCTACTCCTGGGGGAAGGATACTGCAAAATCTCCATTCCCACCCCACTCCAGGGGGAAGGATATTGCAAAATCCCCATTCCCACCCCACTCCTGGGGGAAGGATATTGCAAAATCTCCATTCCCACCCCACTCCAGCGGAAAGGATACTGCAAAATCCCCATTCCCACCCCACTCCCGGGGGAAGGATATTGCAAAATCCCCATTCCCACTCCACTCCAGGGAGAAGGATACTGCAAAGTCCCCATTCCCACCCCACTCCATGGGGAAGGATATTGCAAAATCTCCATTCCACCCCACTCTGGGGCCAGCCAGAGGTGGTATTTACCAGTTCACCGAACTACTCAAACTTTCCGCTACCGTCTCTCTGAACCGCTCAAAATTTCCGCTACCGGTTCTCCAGAACCTGCTGGATTTCACCCCTGGATCTCCGCCAACTCAGAAGTTGACTTGTACAAAAATCCTTCTTCGGGGGATTCTCACAATGGGCCATTTTCAGCCGGCGGGAAGAATTTCAACACGGCAAGAATTCACCGGTTTGGGAAGTTTTAAGAGAAACTTTTTGGCTGACCGGAGCTGCTAAAAAGCTCACCTCTTTTAAGATTTGCAATATATATATATCTATATCTGTCATTTTCGTTTAGCATGTCAGCTTTGGAGTTTGCTGGTGTTCGTTGCCAATATCGCCGTGTGAACAGTATAAATAAATAAATATTCGAATCAAGTGCAAAGTTTTAAAAAGGCATTCTGCTAGACAACTTTAGCTGGTCGAGATTTAATTGACCTGGTGGGGGTGGGATGAGCGTGAATATCAGACAAAGTACAGGTAGTCTTTAACTTAACAGCATCACTGATAAAAGGGACTTACGACCATTTTTCACACTTGTGAACATTGCAGCATTCCCACGGTCATGTGATCAAAATTCAGATGAATGTCAACTGACTCGTATTTATGATGGCTGTGGTGTCCCCCAGGGGTCACGTGATCCCCTTTTGCGACCGTCTGACAAGCAAAGTCCACGGGGAAAGCCAGATTCACTTAACAACCGCGTCACTAACTTTATCCACTGCAGTGATTCACTGAACAACTGTGGCAAGAAAGGTCATAAAATGTGGCAACACTCGCTTCACCAATGTCTCACTGTGTCAGGTTTCGAGGTTGTCTCAAATAAATTGCATTTCAAACAAAGTCTTTGAAGAAAAATTCCCATTTATTAAGCACGACATTCTACCTCCGACTCATTGAAGCCAACACTGACTTCCAGACCCAAAATCCTCCCTTTCTGTTCCCCACTCCCCTGCACTCATTGGCCATCTTCCAAGTCACTCTACCCCTAATCTACTGCTCCAGCTCAAAGGAATTTCCCCCCTCCCATCCCATCTCCTAGGGGATAATATCTCCAGGGAAAATAAGTAGGTGAAAAGTTAAACGTCCCTTTCCAGACGCCTCCGCTTCTCCTTCTTATGTCAGCACTAGAGTAAATGCAGCTTGAAATGCTGACACACTGAGCAACAGAAATGTTGGGCTCCGTTGTGGTCATAAGTCGAGGACTACCTGTAATATGGGTTTGTGTGCACTTTTTTTGTCTTTTTTTTTTTGAAGCTGAATTATGGTTCAAAGTGACTTATTTTCCAAGAGAAAGAGGGGGTGGAAGGGAAAAAGAAACTCCAAATGACTTACTCAACCTTTAAGGATTTTTCTAGTCTTCAGGAAGACTAGGGGAGTTTTCTAGACTCCCCTAGTCTTCAGGGGAGTCCCACAGATACGTGACCATGATATTTATTATGTATCTTTGCTGGAAACTGGTGTTTACTTACAGTTTCTGCAAAAAAATGCCGCATGGTAGACAATGGTTTCATTTAATAGCTATGGTATTTGCTCAATGACTGCCAGATTCACTAAATATCCGCCGCAAAAATGCCATAAAATCAGGTCAATTACATGACGACCCACTTAATGATTTACAACCATAATTCTGGGCTCAATTACAGTCATACGTTGAGGACTGTCTGTATTGGACACAAACTGGGTAAAGACCATAGCCTCGCTAGCTGGACAGAATGGGATTTATAGTTTCACCCATTTACCGGGTGCCAGATTGGGAACCATAAAGAACTACAGGTAGCCCTCCATTTACAACCATTCATTTAGTGAATGGGCAAAGTTACAACAGGACTGAAAAAAGTGTCCTCATACTTTCCCACACTTATGACCAGTGGTGGGTTCCTCCCGGTTCGGTCCGGTTTGGCCGAGCCAAAGGTTGACGATATGACATCACCGAACCGGTTCTCCCCCCCCACCCCACGTTATTCTTACCTTTTATTTGGTCCCACCCCCAATCTATTGCTGCCTCCTGAGTCCCAGCTGATGACTAGAGGGAAAAAAGCTGTTTAAACTCTTGCCGGGGGGCTTCAAAGGGCCCCCTACAGCTGATCAGTGTTAAAAGCAAACAAATGAGTCGGGTCGTAAGTGCGAGGACTGGTCGTAAGTGCGAGGACCTTCCAGAAATGACTCTGACCAGCTAGCCACGCCCACCTAGTCACATGACCTCCAAGCCACACCCACAAAATAAGCCACGCCCGCAGAACCGGTAGTAAAAAAATTTAGAACCCACCCCTGCTTATGACCATTGCAGAATCCCCACAGTCCCGTGATCAGAATTCAGGTGCTTGGCAACTGGCATGTACTCATGACGGTTGCAGTATCCCAGGGGGCCTAACCCTAACCCTTTTGTGAGCTTCTGACAAGCCACCATGTTACTAATATAACTACAGTGATTCACTTAACAAATCAGAATAGAGCTGAAAATGACCTTGGAGATCTCCTAATCTGCTCCTGCTCAAGCAGGAGATCCTATACCAGTGATGGCTAACCTTTTTGCCATCGCATGCCAGGAAGGGGGGGCAGGGGAGGTTCACGAGCATGCATGTGCCCACACCCATAATTCTATACGCCCCGCCCTGCGCATGCATGCATGACCCCCCCGCCCCGCCTCCCGCTCCTGGCACACAATGGCCTGGTAGGCCTGTTTTTCTTTCTCACCTGGCTCCAGATCCTCTCTATGCATCTGGGGAGGGCAAAAACAGCCTTCCCACCCCCTTGGAGGCCCAAAACGGCCTGTTCCCAACTTCCGGTTGACAGGAAGTGACATTTTTTGTTGTTGTCCCCAGCCTCCAGAGACTCCTAGAGAGGCTGAGCTGGCGTGCCAGGTGACATGGCCGCGTGTGCCACCTGTGGCACGCATGCCATAGGTTCGCCATCACGGTCCTATACCATTTCAGACAAGTGGCTGTCCTTAAAATCCTCCAGTGATGGAGCGTCCAGAACTTCTGGTGGCAAGCTGTTCCACTGATTAAATGTCCTCACTGTTAGGAAGTTTCTCCTCAATTCCAGGTTGCTTCTCTCCTTGGTTAGTTTCCATCCGTTGTTTCTCATCTTGCCTCCTGTTGCTTTGTAGAATAAATTGACCCCCTCTTCTTTGTGGCAGCCCCTCAAATCTTGGAATCCTGCTGTCCTTCTTTTCTCTAGACTGGCCATACCCAATTCCTCCAACCGTTCTTCAAATGTTTTAGTCTCCAGGCCTTTTAATCATCTTAAGTTTGCACTTTTTCCAAAGTCTCAACATCTTTTTAGTCATGTGGTGACCAAAACTGGATGCAGCATTCCAGGTGTGGCCTTACTAAGGATTTATAAACCGGTACTAATACTTTACGTGATTTTGATTCTGTGCCTCTGTTTATACAACCAAGGATTGCATTCGCTTTTTTGGCTGCTGTTGGCTTATGTTTAAGTGATCGTCCACTAAGACTCCAAGGTCCCTCTCACAGTCACTGTTTCTGAGCCAGGTTTCATCTGATCTGTACTTGTCTCTTTTGTGGTTTTTCCTGCCCAGATGTAAAACCTAGCTTTTCTCCACTTTCAATTTCATTTTGTTGAATAAGGCTCATTGTTCAAGTCTGGCATTTATTTATCATTCATTCATTTATCATAAATGATAAGCTGGATAGCTCAGCAGACTAATGCATTGTAATTTAACTCCAGCTGTCTGCAATTAGTAAGTTCGAATCTCGCCAGGCTCAAGGTTGACTCAGCCTTCCATCCTTTCTAAGGTAGGTAAATGAGGACCCAGTTTGTGGGGGCAATAAGCTGACTTGTATAAAATATACAAAAGGATGAAGGCTATTGCTTAACGCATTGTAAGCCGCCCTGAGTCTCCGAAGAAGGGCGGCATATAAATCAAATTTTAAAAAAAATGGGACAAAATTCACTTAACAGATTTCTCACTTAGCAACCTAAATTCGGGGCTCAATTGTGGTTGTAAATCAAGGACTTTCTGTTATTCTGCCTCCTTCCTTCCCACTCACCCAGTTTTTGACGCTGCAATTGTACATTTTCAACACTAGAGGGCAAAGTGGTTCCATCGCTTTTCCCGAGCTTGCCTCTTTGAAGGAATCCCCAAATCCCAAACTTTAATCCAGGGATCTCCAACCTTGGCAACTTTAAGCCTGGCAGACTGGCAGTCCCAGAGCAAAGCTGGCTGGGGAATTCTGGGAGTTGAAGTCCTCCAGGCTTAAAGTTGCCAAGGCTGGAGACTCCTGCTCTAATCAAACGTGGCAGGTTCCCCCTAATTCTCCTACAATTTTGTTTTTTTATTTATTTAGAAGCAATGAAATGATTATTATTCTTGTTGTCAAAGGTTGGCTACCTTCCTGGAACTTTTTGCTTAGTGCCATGAAAAATTCAGGGATATTATTATTATTTTATTATTATTATTTATTCAATTTATATACCGCCCTTCTCCTATTGGACTCAGGGCGGTGCACAGCCAAGGATAAAAAACATACCAATACAAAATTTAAAATCAATTAAAAGAATTATACAGCTTTGGCCCACAATTTAAAACAATCCAATTAAAACCCAATTTACACTTAAAAGTTAAAAAGCTAAAAAGCTAAAAAAGAGCTAAAAGGGGGGGGTTCACGCCAGCCCTGCTTGATGGAAAAGAAAAGTTTTTAGGGCACGGTGAAAAACCCGGAGATCCAATATCCTTCTTATCTCCGGGGGCAAATCGTTCCAGAGGGCAGGAGCTGCCACAGAGAAGGCCTCCCCCTGGGGGTCGCCAGCCGACATTGCCTGGCTGACGGCACCCTGAGGAGTCCCTCTCCGTGGGCGCGTACTGGTCGGTGGGAGGCTATCGGCGGCAGAAGGCGGTCTCGCAAATACCCAGGTTCGATGCCATGGAGCGCTTTAAAGGTGGTAACCAACACCTTGAAGCGCACCACCACCGGAAGCCAATGCAGAAAGTCTGTAGCTATCTTAATTTCCATCCTCCCCTGATTTATAAGGAAAACATCTACAAGCAGTCCTTGACGTAGGAACACAATAAGAGGTGGTATTCAGATGGAAATTGCAGGTGGGGTCCCCACCGCCCACCCCCGGCTCTATGCCATCCTATTTAGGCACTTTTTGAGGCCATGCGTAGGTGCGGAAGACATGCACACAAGCAAAGTGAATGCGTGGAAGGCGCATGGGTGGAAGCAGCGGTGGGATTCAGCCGGTTCGCACCACTTCGGGAGAACCGGTTGTTAACTTTCCGAACAGTTTGGCAAACTGGTTTTTGGAAGAAATCATTAGGGCAGAGAACCGGTTGTTAAATTACTTGAATCCTACCACTGGGTGGAAGGCAGGCGCATGTGCAAACCGGGCACTTGCACACGAAGTGAGAGTGCGCACATGAGGCAAACCGGTCGTAACATAATGTGAAACCCACCGCTGACCACAATTGCTAAGCAAGGCCGTTGTTAAGTGAGTTTTGCCCCATTTCACAACCTTTCCCGTCACAGTTGTTACGTGAATCATTGCAGTTGTTAAATGAGGAACAGGGTCGTTAAGTGAACCTGGCTTCCCCGTTAACTTTGCTTGTCAGAAGGTCGCAAAAGGGGAACACGTTGTTGTGACCTCGGCTTCCTGAGTTATTAAAACACACGAGTAGTCCCAAAAACCTCTTTTATTGCAACAGCTGTGAATTACGTTCATTCACAGCTGAGTCCCAATTAGTTGCAAAAAGTCCTTCGGGATAATCACCAACCTTTATCTCCCTTGACACTCTGCCAAAGACCTACTTGGCAAAGCCACACCAAGTCCAGAATCAAACAGAGATGCCGACTGGGAACAGAATTAACAACGCTGCTTTCCTGCAAAGGGCCCACGTGCCTTTGCTCCTCTTTTAAGCCTTATGGAAGGGGCTAATCATCTCCAGGCCTTACTCCCGAGTTGTCCCTTTAGTTTTAACTGTTCGTGCCTTCTGGCAGCTCTGCCCATACGCGCACTAGGAACAGGCTCCTCCTGTTCCTCTGCCTCTCTGATGTCCAACTCTGGAGGCTCAGGAATCCGCGCATCACTCCCAGATGGCCCTGGCCCCATCTCTGCCTCCGACGCAGAGCCCTTGTCTGGGCCTTCCCCAGACTCCAGGACTGGCCCATGTTCTCCCCAGCCTCCTCACTGTCCGACTCCGCTACCAGCTCCGCAGGCTGCTGGTGAACCACAACACAAGTAAACGTTGAGTAGCAAAGTTTAATTTGTAGAAACTACAACAACAATAATAATAAAAGCACTGCTGAGGTAAATATTAGTGAAATTGCTACCCAGCCAGTACAATATCAAGAGTGGGAGAGGAAATGATGTTCTTTTATTTCAAAAACGGAGGATAGGTAACTTTAGATATTTCATGGATTTATAGTTCTGCAAAGTATGATGACTCTTGATTGTTTAACATCCGTGGGAAAAGAGCCAGCAACTTAACTCTGATCGCTGCCCAAAATTATACTGCTGTGTAATGTTGAAGTAAACAGAAATGGCTTTTTCCATAGATGGATGTCAGTTCAAGTCAGCTGTTCAGAAGGAATTCCTGGGTTCTGCATTCTTCCCGTTCCAGTATTTGACTGAGTTCACACAAACCACAGTTTCCTTCAAGCAAGGTTTTTATGAACAGTCTAGGATTCTCCAACTTGTTGAGCCCTTTCCACACAAATAAGATGCTAGAGGTGAGGACCACGAGGTCACTCAGTTCAGGGATCCATATTAAAGCATTGCTGACAAATGGTTGTGTGAAGGCACCCAAAGAAGGAGAACCTGCCGTCTTTGTGAGCTTGTGGCTTCCAAAGATTGAAATGTTCTTGATGTTTTGGGATCTTCCTTTAACTTCATTATTCCATCTCTGGAATGAGAGAAATCAGCTCTTGAATTTGCGCTAAACTTCCAGACACTTCAGGAATGTTCTCGGGCGTTAAGTCCATCTTTTCTTCTCAGAGCTAAATAATTTTACTCCTCCCAATCCTTTTTCATGGCTTTTATTTATTTTATTTTTTTTTAATTTAATTTATATGCCGCCCTTCTCCGGAGACTCAGGGCGGCTTACAATGCATTAAGCAATAGCCTTCATCCTTTTGTATATTTATACAAAGTCAGCTTATTGCCCCCACAAACTGGGTCCTCATTTCACCTACTTTAGAAAGGATGGAAGGCTGAGTCAACCTTGAGCCTGGTAAGATTCGAACCTGCAGTAATTGCAGGCAGCTGTGTTAATAACAGGGTGCTTAGACCACTGTACTATCAAGGCTCTTTTAATTTCCACTGTTCTTATTCATGTCAGTGTTTCTCAATCGTCGACTTCAACTCCCAGGATTCCCCAGTCAGCCATGTAGATCAACATTTCTGAACCTCAGTAGCTTTTAAGATGCGTGGACTTCAACTCCCAGGATTCCTCAGACAGACTGGGGAATCCTGGGAGTTGAAGTCCACGCATCTTAAAGTCATTGAGGTCCAGAAATATTGATCTACACTGCCCTCTTCTGAATCCGCTTCAATTTTTCTAAGTCTTTCTTGAAGTGGGAGCTTGGACACATTAGACAATGTTTGCCTAATCTTAACGATTTTAAGATCGCTAAGACTTCAACTCCCAGAATACCTTGCTGCCTGGGGTGTTCTGGGAGTTGAAGTCCACACATCTTAAAATGGCTCAGGTTGAGAAACATTCAGGGGTAGGATTCAGCCGGTTCGGGAAAACGAGATGTTAATGTTAATCTGGTTTGGCGAACCAGTTGTTCCAAGGACCGGCTGACCCAGCCAACCCTGCCCCGACCCTCCCAGGAATCCCCACGCGGCCTGTTTTGAATGCCAGCTAAGTGCAGGGCGCATGTGGAGGCTCTGGGAGGGTGAAAACCGGGCCTACCGGAAGTCTGGAAATGTGCCTGATTCCAGCCTCTGGAGGGCTTCCGGTGCCCGGGGGTGGCTGTTTTCGCCCTCCTGGAGGCTCCAGGAAAGCCTCCGGAGACTGGGGAGGGCAAAAAACAGGCCTACCAGAAGTAGGCCTGTTTTTCTGGCCTCTGGAGGACGCACGAAGCGAACCAGTTGTTCCAACTGGTGAATCCCACCACACTGCATTATTAGGAGGTCCTGTGATGGATTCTGGCCATAGCAGAAGACAAAATAATGACTTCCCATGTTTTGGAAACTAAATTTCTGCTGATTCAAGCCAGGATAACAAAGCAGGATTCTTCTGCTCCATCGCCCACATTGCCTAAAGGCAGAAACCATGTTGTGCCTTATCATTATCTCTTCCTGCAGAGATCAACCCAGCTTTAACCGAGTCTAGCATGCCACTAAGTCATAACTTGTGGTTTGCAAACCTCACCGCATCGATTTGCATATGCCAAGAAGCTGAAACCAAAAAAAACTTCCGCAAACTTGAATCTAACGTATAGATGCATATCTAAGGATGTGCATTTCTTTGTTAGGCCCTGATTATAAAGTGGTTAAGCCTGTAAGAACAGTGAGCCAGTTAGCCCAGTATAGGGAGTCCTTGACTTGCGACCACAACCGAGCCAACATTTTTGTTGCTAAGTAAAGGCAGTTATGAAGTGAGTTGACGACTTTTCTTGTTAAGTTGTTAAGTGAATCCGCGCCGTTAATTTAGTAACGTGGTCATGAAGTGAATCTGGCTTTCCCTTTGACTTGGCTCGTGAGAAGGTCGCAAAAGGGGATCGCATGACTCCGCCGGGACTCTGCAACCGTCATAAATATGAACCAGTTGCCAACCGTCTGAATTTTGATCACGTGATCATGGGGACGCCACAACGGTCATAAGTATGAAAAATCGATCATAAGTCACTTTTTTTCAGTGTCGTTGTAAGTTGAGGACTACCTGTACAGGGGGAAGCTGAGATGGACAATGGTGGTTGTAAGTTGAGGACTACCTGGACATGAGGAAGCTGAGATGGACAATAATTGCTCGGCTGGAAGGTTCTGCATATTATTTGGGTGGTTCATATTTATGACCTTTGCAGCGTCCCCAGGAGACGTGATCCCCTTTTGCGACCGTCTGACAAGCAAAGTCCACGGGGGAAGCCAGATTCGCTTAACAACCGCATCACTAACTTATCCATTGCAGTGATTCACTGAACAACTGTGGCAAGTAAGAAAATAGGGCAAAACTCACTTCACCAATGTCTCACTGAGCAACAGAAATGTTGGGCTCCGTTGTGGTCGTAAGTCGAGGACTACCTGTAATATGGGTTTGCGTGTACTTTTTTTTTTTGAAGCTGAATTATGGTTCAAAGTGACTTATTTTCCAAGAGAAGTGGGGGGGGGAGAAACTCCAAATGATTTACTCAACCTTTAAGGATTTTTCTAGTCTTCAGGGGGGGAAAAATAGGATTTCTGGCATGGAGTCCCACAGACACAAGAACATGATATTTATTATGTATCTTTGCTGGAAACTGGTATTTATTTACAGGTTCTGCAAAAAAATGCCCCATGGGAGACAATGGATTCATTTAATGACTACGGTATTTGCTCAATATCTGCCAGATTCACTAAATATCCTCCATAAAAATGCCATATAATTAGGTCAATTACGGGACAACCCGTTTAATGACTTACAACCATAATTCTGAGCTCTGGTGGCTCAGCAGGCTAAAGCATTGTTATTAACATCCACTTACATCTGCTGCCTGCAATTACTGCAAGTTCGAATCTCGCCAAGGCTCAAGATTGACTCAGCCTTCCATCCTTTCTAAGGTAGGTAAAATGAGGACCCAGATTGTGGGGGCAATAAGATGACTTTGTATAAATATACAAAAGTATGAAGGCTATTGCTTAACGCATTGTAAGCCGCCCTGAGTCTCCGGAGAAGGGCGGCATATAAATCAAATTTAAAAAAAAAAATACAGTCATAAGTTGATGACTATCAGTATTGGACACAAACTGGGTAAAGAGCATAGCTTCGCTAGCTGGACAGAATGGGATTTATAGTTTCACCCATTTACCGGGTGCCAGATTGGGAACCATAAAGAACTACAGGTAGTCCTCGACTTACAGCCATTCATTTAGTGAATGGGCAAAGTTATGACAGCACTGAAAAAAATGTCCTCACACTTTCCCACACTTATGACCATTGCAGCATCCCCACAGTCCCGTGATCAGAATTCAGGTGCTTGACAACTGAATTCTGCTTCTGACGAGCGAAGTCAATGGGGAAGCCAGATTCCCTTAATGACCGGGTTACTAACTGAACAACTGCAGTGATTTCACTTAACAACGGTGGCTAGAAAAGTCCTAAAAATGTTAAGCAAAACTCGCTTAACAAATGTCTCACTGAACAACAGACACGTGGGGCTCAATTTTGGTCGTAAATCAAGGACTGCCGGTAATCAGAAGGGTTTTGGAAGCCCAAAGCGTCCAGCTAAATGGGCTCATGCCAGAGAGGTTGGGTGGCCACCAATTAAATGCAATATGAATGGCCTGTGCTCTGAGCTTGCCTGCCAATCGCACAGGCCCCTTTGTCTCTGCAATAATCCTGACCTGCTATTTTCACTGTTATTTCCCACACAAAGCAGGCAGCCCCGAAAGCAGGTTTTTTGCATTGTTGTGCATTTTGTTTTAAAAAAATTCCCTATTTTTTTAAACACAATTAATTCCCCCACCAAGTTATAGGCCAGGGATGGCCAACCTTTTCGGCACGGAGTGCCCAAACCGGAATGCGTGTGCATGTGTGTGCATATCAGGGGTGGGTTCTAAATTTTTTTACTACAGGTTCTGTGGGCGTGGCTTATTTTGTGGGCATGGCTTAGAGGTCATGTGACTAGGTGGGCGTGGCTAGCCGGTCAGAGTCATTTCTGGAAGGTCCTCGCACTTACGACCAGTCCTCGCACTTACGACCCAACTCATTTGTTTGCTTTTAACACTGATCAGCTGTAGGGCGGCCCTTTGAAGCCCCGTGGCAAGAGTTTAAACAGTTTTTTTCCCTCTAGTCATCAGCTGGGACTCAGGAGGCAGCAATAGATTGGGGGTGGGACCAAATAAAAGGTAAGAATAACGTGGGGGGGGTGGGGAGGGCGGGGGGGGAAAGTTCGGTGATGTCATATCGTCACCACTACCGGCTCGGCCAAACCGGACCGAACCGGGAGGAACCCACCACTGGTGCATATGCAGGCACAGGAGCGCTGGTAATTCAAAAACCAGCTGGCTGGTGTGCATGACCGTGCCAGTCAGCTAGTCTTCATGCATGCTGGAGCACCGGAATCCCAAAGACCAGCTGGCTGGCGCATGCATGCCTGTTTTTTGCCTGGTTTTTTTGCCATTTTCAGGGCGTTTTCCGGCACCCGCAAATACCAGCTGGCCAGTGCGCGTGCCCACAGAGAGGGCTCCGCATGCCATCCCTGGCACACCGAGGTTCACCATCACAGTTATAGGTGCTCTGTATTTATATTTTATGTTTTTGGGAAAGGAGGCGGGAAGCTTTTTCTTCAAAGCTCATCGTTCTCAATTTGTTTGTTTGTTTGTTTGTTTTATTAAATTTATATACCGCCCTAAGAAGGACTCAGGGCGGTGAACAGGCACAAAATAAAATACATAAATACAAAAGTTAGAAACATAATTAAAACCAAATTAAATAATTTAGCCCAAGACAATTAAAAATCCCAATAATTTAAAACAAATTAAAATTCCAATTTAAAAATTTAAATTTAAAAGAAAGGGAGAAAATTAGAAAATTTACAGGCGGTCCTCGACTTAACAAGAGTTCGTTTAGTGACCGCTCAAAATTACAATGGCATTCTCAAGGTTGAGAAACACTGACGTCCTTTAAATGGTTAGTGACTATTCAAAGTTACAACGGCACTGAACAAAGCAACCTCACACTTACGACCGCTGCAGCCTCCCCAGGGTCACGTGATCAATATTCAGACGTTTGGCAACTGATTCAAATTTATGATGGTTGCAGTATCCCGGGGTCTCACATGAACCCCTTTTTTGCGACTTTCTAACAAGCAAAGTCAAGGGGGAAAGCCAGACTCACTTAACAACTGTGTTACAATCGATTCACTTAACCACTGTAGCAAGAAAGGTCATAAACTGGGGCCAAATTCACCACGTCTCGCTTCGCCACTGAGATGTCGGGGCTCCGTTGTGGTCGTAGGTCGAGGACTACCTGTAATAAAATCGACAATCCAAGCAGAAGAGAGAAAGAGAGAAAGAGAAAGCCTCAGTGCAGTGGTGGGATTCAGCCAGTTTGCACCTTTTCGGGAGAACCGGTTGTTAACTTTCTAAGCAGTTTGGAGAACGGGTTGTTGGAAGAAATCTTATTTTGTTTTTCTCCCACTTTACAGAGCTAATCCTGTAAGGAAGGCAGGGAGGAAACATTCTGCTGGTGTTTCTAGCCTAATCTTTATTGCCCTGCTTACAGAAACTGCCTCTCTGGTTAACCCTTATTACATTGTAACAGTGAGTGACGTTGAGTTGGCCATGCCAACACAGGTCTACCCAGCTGGTCATTAGGGCAGAGAACCGGTTGTTAAATTATTTGAATCCCACCACTGCCTCAGTGTAACAGCAACAGAGTTGCAAGGGACCTTGGAGGTCATCTAGCCCAACCCCCTGCTACTGTACTAGGGAATTCAATTCGAACCCCTGACTTTTCTGATCGACAAGCTCAGTGTCTTAGCCCCTGAGCCACCTAGCCAGGTCTCCGTCCTCGCTCTACGACCGCCAGGTCTATCAGGCTGCTGGGGGGGAGGGCAAAAAACAACCATCCTTCCGTTCTCCTCCTTGAAATCCAGGTCACTCTTGACATGCTCAGGAATCCTGCTTCTTCAAGCTCCTTCCGCCCCCTCCTTTTCCAACAGGTGGGGGCTGCCTGTCAGCTGATGATCCCTCCTGAGCTGCGGGTCGTAAAAAAAAGACCGAGGCACTCTGCACATGCTCGGAGAGCCCGCTTAAGCCCGGCCCTGCGCCTCGCCCCGAAGGAGAAAAGCGAGCCAGGCGAGGCGAGGCGAGGGCGGTGCTTTTCCACCCGGCCCATCTCACCCAACCCCTGGCCGGCTCCTCCTCTCGGCTTCCTCCCCTCCGAAGCTCCAGCGGCGGCGGCGGCGGCGCTGGGTCTCTCGCCTTTCGTCCGGCTGCTTGCGCGATGTGAGCCTCTGGATCGCAGAAGCGGCGGGCGCAGCGCGATGGAGCGCACCAAGCTGTTCGTGGCGCTGGATGTGCTGTGCCTGGTGGTCGGTAAGGACCCCCCCCTCCCTCCCCTCCACGCGGGACCAGCCCCCCCCCAAACCTGGCTCCGAATTCGGACCTTCCCTGAATGCCTTTATCTCTGGGGAGGGGGGGGAAGGAAAGGGGGATCCAGGCAGATCCCCCTCCCCTTCCTTGCTTTGCTTCTCTCCTCCAAAAGACGGATCATTGATTGATTGATTGACTGTCTGATTGATTGATTGACTGACTGACTGACTAATTGATTGGATTGATTGATTGATTGACTGACTGATTGGTTGGTTCGGTGATTGATAGTTTGATGGGCAGATGGATGGATTGATGGGCCTGATTAACTGATTTCCGTCTGGGTCCATTTTAGCCATCGTTTGTCCTGCTTTTTTTTCTTTGCCTTTTTTTCTTTGCCTTTGGGTGGGAAAAGTTTAAACACTTTTCTTCCGCTCCCTTTTAAAGTTGTTCTAAGCCCCCCCACTTACATTCTTCCTTCCTTCCTTCCTTCCTTCCTTCCTTCCTTCCTTCCTTCCTTCCTTCCTTCCTTCTTTCTTCTTTCCTTCCTTCCTTTTCTTTCTTCTTTCTTCTTTCCTTCCTTCCTTCCTTCCTTTCTTTCTTCTTCCTTCTTTCCTTCCTTTCCTCCTTCCTTCCTTCCACTCCCTTTTAAAGTTGTTCTGAGCCCCCCACTTCCTTCCTTCCTTCCTTCCTTTCTTTCTTTCTTCTTTCCTCTTTCCTTCCTTCCGCTCCCTTTTAAAGTTGTTCTAAGCCCCCCCACTTACTTACTTACTTTCTTCTTTCTTCTTTCCTTCCTTTCCTTCCTTTCTTTCTTTCTTCTTTCGTTCCTTCCTTCCTTTCCTTTCCTTCCTTCCTTTCTTCTTTCTCCTTCCTTCCTTCCTTCCTTCCTTCCTTCCTTCCTTCCTTCCTTCCTTCCTTCCTTCCTTCCTTCCTGTCTTTTGGGGAGCCCCCCCCCCTCTGCAGAATTGGAAAGTTTTCTTCCTGGTAAAATATGTTTTTTTGCCCCACTCCCTGTCTCTTTGGTCCTTATTTTGCAAGAAAACTCCTGGGAAAACTTCTGAGAAACTCATACTTTACCAATTTGCCGTGGAGCCTTATTCGTCATTTTCTTCTATTGCTGCCGCCTCTTTTATTGATACCAGCTGGGCCTGGGGGTGGGGGATGCTCCCCCTTGCATTGGGGGCAAACAAACTCAGCATCCCTGCTTTTCTGGTTTGAAAGCTGCTTCAGGTCCATCCGGTCCCCCCTTTGATATCCCTTTTTAACAAAATAAAACCCCTTCCTCCCCTCCCCCCTTATCCTAAGGGCTGCATTCACAGGACACGCTTAACCTGCTTTCCCGAAGGAACCCCCTTTTCTGACTTCACCCAAGACCAGGCTGGGTGAATTTGTGCATGTGGGAATTTGTGCATGTGGGACAATGCAGAACTGGCAACCTGGGTGAAAGACTAACCAGCTTTAAGTCGCAATTGTCTTAGTGCAAAGGGCAGTTGTCTTTTGTGGGGAAGGGACGGCATGTGGGTTGTGGGAATGCTCAGCCAGGCAGAGGGAAAGATCTGAACTCAGGGCTCGATCTTAGGAACTTTTAAGATAAGTGGACTTCAATTCCCAGAATTCCCCAGCCAGCCATGCTGGCTGGGGAATTCTGGGAGTTGATGTCCACCCATCTTAAAAGGCTGGGGGAAAAAACCACACCATTTTGATGGCTTTCCCGATAGACATTCTTTCAAGAAATAGCCAGCGCAGCTTTGGAGTCCAACAAGCTTAATCATAATTGATTGAATCATGGTTTAGTGAGAAAATCGACTTTTCTGCATTTGCAGCCCCCCCAAAACAGACTGTCTATCTTTCTCTAAGTTGGCTGTTTCAAATATGATGTGTGATCTGAACCTCATAGGCAACATTTCAACATCCAAGCAGCGTTATTTGGATTTTGGCTTGTTCCATGAACCTTGCCAAATGTGCATTGTTTATAAACCACTATTGGACCAGCTATGGCTTGGTTACATGAAGCCAGCTGTTGCTTCAGTCTTTAAAAGTCCCCATTTTTTTCCTTCATGCTCAGAACAAACTTCAAGGACTGGTCGTAAGTCACTTCCTTCAGACAGTCGCTGAACGAATGGTTGTAACTTGAGGTAGTCCTCAAGTTACTTACTTACTTACTTAATTAATTAATTAATTAATTAAGCTTATATGCCGCCCTCTCTCCGGAAAGGATTCAGGGTGGCTCACAGCAATAAAAACAGATAAAATCAATATTAAGTGTTAAAAATCATTAAAACTCCCATTAAAAACCCCTTCAGTCCATTTACATTTAGTAACTGTTTGAAGTTATAATGGCACTGAAAAAAAGTGACTTACAACCCTTTTTCAGACTTATAACCATTGTGCCATCCCTACGGTCATGTGATCAAAATTCAGACGCTTGTCAACTGACTCATATTTATGACGGTTGCAGCGTCCCAGGTGATTCCCCTTCTGACAAAGACAATGGGGAAGCCGGATTCACTTAACAACCATGTTATTAACAGCTGCAGGGACTCGCTTAACAACTGTGGCAAGAAAGGTAGTAAAATGGGGCAAAACTCACTTAATCACTGTCTTACTTAACAACAGAAACTTTGGGCTCAATTGTGGTTGTAAATTGAGGATTACCTGTACTGTATTATAAAAACAAATCTAATTGAATGAGAATTAGCATTGGTCATTTCGTTGATTTTTGTCTTAAACAGGAATATTTTGGGAGATTTTCAAACATAGTTTACATGGCAATCTTTAAGTCAGTTTTAATGTCCCTGTTGTGATGGGAATTGTGGGTTAAAACTACTTTTGCAGGTGGTCCTTGGTTTATGACCACAAATGAGCCCCACATTTTTGTTGCTAATTGTTAAGTGACAATTAGCAACAAAACAGCAACTTAACAAGTTTAACAACAGACGATTGTTGTGCCTCATTTTAAAACTTTTTTGCCACAGTTGTGAAGCGAATCACACGGTTGTTAAGTTAAGTTGACTTTGCTTGTTGGAAACTGGCTGGAAAAGGTCACAAATGCTTGTCACATGATCCCAGGACAGTGCAACCGTCATAAATACGAGTCAGTTGCCAAACACCTAAATTTTAATTCTATGACCAGTGTGAAAAATGGACATAAGCCACTTTTTTCAATGCTGCTGTAACTTGCAATGGTCACTAAACGAATGGTTGTAATTCAAGGACTACCTGTACCCAATTTGGAATAATTTACCAAGATTTGGGAAGAACTGTTCTAGAATTATCTTGTGTGATGGGCCATTTTAGCCAGAACAAGCAGGATATTGTGACAGATATGGGTGGAGTTTTGAACCTGGTTTGTTTTGCGGTGCACACCAGAGGTGGGTTTCAGCAGGTTCTGACCAGTTCTCGAGAACTGGTATTAGAAATTTTGAGTGATTCGGAAAACCAGTAGTAAAAATTCTGACTTGCCCCATCTATTCTCTGCCTCCCAAGTCCCAGCTGATTGGGAGGAAATGGGGATTTTGCAGTAACCTTCCCCTGCCACGCCCAACAAGCCACACCCACAGAACCGGTAGTAAAATATTTTGAAACCCATCACTGGTGCACACCCAGAATTTTCAATGGGAAGCTCTGTGGTTCTGGATTTGGCGTGCATCATTTTCAGCGGGAGTTTGTCCTGCACTCCAAACTCAGCAAAATTCTTAGGCATCTGAACTGGAACATGGAGTAAGTCTGGGTGTGGAGAAAATTAGGATGGGCCCTCTATTAAACAAGTGTGACTTTGAATCCAGGGGTGTTGCGGTCAAAAAAGTCAAGATGGCAGCCACAAACCCTGCCCCTTTTTGGTGTGTGTCCCCCCCCCCAAGTGGTACCCAAATTCTAGAAAGGACTTTTTAAAAAAGGCATGGAATATGTTTAATTTTTTTTTAAAAGCATGCATTTAGTTCAGAATGCTAGCTCCAATTTCTTCCTAATTTGAAATGTTTCACCCTGACGGTTTCTAAACAGACTGGCCTGAAATGAGATGTGAATGCAGCTAGTACTGATATAAATAATAGCCCCAATATAAATGGGAAGGGGGTGTTTGACTCTCCTAATCAATATGTGAGTGGGAAGGCCAGCATCTTATTAAGTATGGCTCTGTTGACTAAACTGACTAATGGCCCATTGATAGACAATTTCATTCGACTAGAGATTGAAATTCCTTTTCTTGAGCATTTTGATCCCCGCCTTTAATACTTGTGGCAGTGAGTTCCAGATGTCCAATTATGCATTGGTATGAAGGTTCAACATCTGTTTGTTCTGTAGGATGAAAACTGGGCAGCCCAGGCAAGCACGGGAAACATATTCCATCCTGGGCAGGGATGGATGGATAGGTGGATGGATGGGAAAGAAGGAAGCAGGGGAGAGAGGGAAGCAGGATGGAGTAGAAAGAAGGAAGGAAGTGGAGGGGGAAGGAAGGGAGGAAAAAGAAAGAAAGAGAAAGAAAGAGAGAAAGAAAGAAAGAAAAAAGAGGGAGAGAGGGAAGCAAGGAAAAGGGAGGGAAGGGAGGGAGGAAGAAATGAAGGAGGGAGGAAGGAAGGAAGGGAAGGACAGGGAAGGAAGGAAGGAAAAGGGGAGGGAAGGAGGGAAGGAAGGTAGGATGGAAAGGGAGAAGGAAAAAAGGGAGGGAGAGAGGGAAGAAGGAAGGAATTGTCTGGTGAATTCTGGAAGTTGTGGTCCACGCATCTTAAATATATCTTCTATATTTGCAGGAATTGTCCTCAGGGGCCTCAAAAAAGTCAAAATGCTATGTTAATAAATAGGATGCAAGTATATATAACAATTTAGTTTATAAGAATGCTCAGTATGGTTATTACAAGAACAAGAGAACGATTAGGAAGATTGAATTTAAAAGTAAAGATAATTGTCGATGCAGAAAGTTGTAAAATATTATATAATATTGTGATACATGTTTTGTATTTTACCATTTGGCGTATGTGTATGTTTTCTTCTTTTTTCTTGTTTTGTCTTTTTCTATTACATTTCTGGTTTTTAAAATGTAAAAAATTCAATACAAACTATTTTTTTAAAAAACAAAAAAGGTCAAAATGTCCGTGCCACTACCGGTACGTGAGGGAAGCCCAATTGTCTTTATACCTGCATGTGCAAAGCAGGAGGCCTGGGATTATGTGGTTGAAGCCGCCATCTTGGCTTGTTTGACCATCCCTGCAGAAATACTCCTGGACATTGGAGGGGTCTTAGTTGGGTAGAGATGCTGATTTGATTCTGTTGAATTGGTGATTTGGTCCCAAACAAGTGGCAAACATTTGGTCTCCCTTGTAGAATACAGGTAGTCCTTGATTTACAACAAATTCGTTTGGTGACCTTTCAAAATCACAACGGCATTAAAACAAGTGATTTATGACCATTTTTCACACTTACGACCCTTGCAGCATTCCCATGGTCATGTGATCAACGGGGGAAGCCAGATTCACTTAACAGCCGGGTTACTAACTTCACAACTGCAGTGATTCACTTAACAACGGTGGCAAGAAAAGTCGCAAAATGGGGCAGAACTCACTTAACAAAGGTCTCGCTGAGCAATGGGAATTTCAGGCTCAATTGTCGTAAATCAATTACCTGTAAATGTCAGAATGGAGATAATGGTCAGGGGTCTTGAACCATTCAGGGATGACGAGGAGAAGCCCATTTTTATCTTCACCTCCCCAAACTCCACAAATGTCAGATAAAACGTAAAAAATAAGTTGCATTGCTTTTCTCCTCTCTGTGGGTGCACCACGACTTATGACCGTAACGGAGCCTGCTCACTATTGTCATAAAGCAAGTCAATAACATGACTGACCTGATTTTACAACCTTTTTAGGATCATTTCATTTTAATGTATGCTGATTAGTGTACATTTAAAGTGACAATGATCTATTCTATTCTATTCTATTCTATTCTATTCTATTCTATTCTATTCTATTCTATTCTATTCCATATTCCATTCCATTCTACTCAAGGTGTGTCTATGGTAACTTGTTGCTAAGCAACAAGTTGTAAGTCATCTGGTAGTGCTCAAATTGCCATTCAGCCATTTGTCTGAAATGTTATAGGGCAGTGATGGCTAACCTTTTTGCCGTCGTGTGCCAAAAGCGTGGGGAGCGTGGGGCGGT